TGCAAGAACGTTGTTCAAGTTTTGAATCCATTGTAAAAATCGCCGCGACGTAAAAACTTGATGTAAAGAAATCACTGTCATAAAGGTAAATGAACAGCTGATAAGCAGAAGCTTGGCATGAGTGTCCGTAACAGTGCTGTTAACGTGACACAAACAACAGAATTTTAAACCGATAAGCCCGCGAGGTTTAAATTAAAAATTCCGGTTATTTTTTTATCATGGTAGTATACGAATTCGCATAAGACTCTCTGTTCTACAACTCTCTCACTTCTACAATTTGTGTACTTTGACGCCAATGCGCATGAGCGCGTTGAAAGTACCTTACACGAATTGTACACGACGTGAATGAAGTTTCCGAACAACCTCTAGCACTGGAGGGAACAAATGACAAAATTATCAGCACGGTTACACGAGTGAGTAACCGAGAATCTCGAGAAGACATATCAGAGACAATCCGAAGCGTATAATTTACGTTATCGAGATGTATCACATCGCGTTGGTGATCTGGTGTGAAAACAAAATCGCATTTTGTCATCTGCGACGCAGAATATTGCCGCAAATTAGCACTAAAATATCAGAAGCCATATCGTATTAGTAGAAGGGTGTCATCAGTAGTCTATGAGTTGGTGAGTCTGGATAACCTTACCTATGGGTCGTGTATATGTAAAAGATTTTAAACCCTACTGCTACCCTATTCCGGACAATCTTGATGATTGATGTTTGTCGAAAATTGTTGCCATTTTGTTTGGTGACGGGTTGTGCGATCGTTGACCGAGCGGAGAGGAGCAGTGGAAACGTCGTGAGACCGCAGGTCTCTGGTGAGTCGGTTTGCTTTCGTTTATTCACCGTATTACTGTTGATTTTTTTTAATGTGTGCGGAGAGAATCAACGACCAAGTCGTCGTTGGTTAAAACTTCCTCGATCCTCCTCGGGTTGGGGGGAATTGTGACGTGACACTTTTCGTGTCCGTCACAAGGATACATTTCCGGCCGACACAAAAGACGGTGAGCTCGCGTTTCCCACCTTTTAAGGGAGAGCAGCTCGTTAAGTCGCGTAGCGCAAACGAAGGCGCTTAAGAGGATGCTGAACTGACGATTAAAATTTGATTTTTAATCTCTTCACTGTCCGGAAAATAACGCCTTCTAGTCGGATTGAAACGGAGGATAGATGTGTCTCTCTCCTTGTCTTTCGTTTATCGTCCGTCTTCTTTTTAGAATAAGACAGATTCGCTGTTTTCTTTTTCGCGTTAAGTTATATAACTTTGGTGCTTCTGCTATACTAATTCTAATTTTCTACTACTGTTTCTTAGAAGCTTCAAAGTTTTTTTCTGAAACGCTCAAAATATTCGTTTATGTCTATAAAATGGAAAACTATAAACTTTCGTTTGGAATCATCTGTCAATTTTGTATAGGAAGTAAAAATGTACTAACTTCAATAACGGTCCATAAACTTTTTGTCGTTTTTCTTGTATTTTTCTTGAGTTTTCCATTTTTTAGCATATTTTCTTTCATTCTAGAGAAGCGTTTTTCATTCCGATCAAAAACTGCAAAATGAGAAGTAAACTATGAAAATGTGATAAAACAGGACATTCAGCATCCTCTTAATTTCGCGAAGGCGCCTTGCGCCTATGTCATTTGACAGGAGCGTTATCCGACAAATTGTTCCATTAATATTTTTATTTTCTGCGCATTTTGTTGCCATTAAGGTTTTGCGACATTTTTGTATTATTCTTGTGTGCCGTGCGGGCCGCTCGGCGGCTATTATGTAATTTATTTTCACAGCGCGGAAAAAGCAGCACACTTTAGGTAGTCGGCAAATAGAATGGAACGAGGAAGAGAGAAGATAGAGATAGCGAAGAATCCAGGAGTGTAAGGCGTCAAAGGCACAAGATACTTGGCAATTTCGATGGCGGACTCAAAAGGAGAAGAAGCACTCCGATCTCCAAAAATCTGAATCGGAACTTCCACTGGAGTGACAGGCTCGGTGATGCTGAGAGATGAGTCTCAGCAAGCTTATCTCATAAAATAATAGGAGCGGAGCGGGCCTGATACGGCCAAGAAAGGGCCCGAGTCGTTATTATGCCGGGCACGTGATTGACACGTGGCCGCTGTCAATCACAACGCCACGGAAGAAAGAATCTGATTGGCTTAGCTACCTAGCGCGAAGAACAGCGCTCAATGAAAGAGAGTAATTGCTGAACGATGCGAGTTCATTGTTGCAAGTACCGCGGGCCGCGCGAGTTCATCGTTCCGTCTAGTGACGTGGCCAATCGAAGAACAAGTTCTTGGTGAAGTGTGTCCCGACGGATCCCGAGGAGGACACAGAAAGAAAAGATCCCGAAAAGGGAAAAGTGCCGAACAGCTGACTATATTATCCGGAAGACCACCGACGAACGTAAGTGTGTCGTTGCTTCTCTTCCGCACATTTCACGACTTCTATTGTTCGTGAGTCTTGACGGGCCACCTTGCGAGTTTGATGTTGCGCAATATGTTCCCGAAAATCTATTGTGTTGCGTTTCGAGGTTGTTTATTGTAATTATTGTAGATATTTCATTGCCACTGCTCTCGCCTTTCCGTCGCGGTCGCAACAATCCGATCTCTATCATTACTCGTTATATTGAAGCGTTACATGTTTTTTTGTTTGTTTTTTTTTTTTATGTTTGTATCGTGTCGAATTCTTATGTCTACCGCGTTCGCGGTAGTGATATGAGCAAGATTTANTAGCGTTTATATTGTCGAAAAATCGTAGCTGACGGCCGCGGGAATTAAGCGTGACAGAAAAACTACCGATAACTGCCGTCTTGTCAAATAGTACACGGAGAATTAAAATGAATTACGTTAAACTCGTGAGTCGTTTATAACCCTCGACCGTCATACGTCGCATAAGTTGCAACAATCTATTTGTTGTTGAACGCAATAAACTGTCACATGTTGTTATTTTATTTTTCATCTAATTGTGTGCATTATTTACTGATTAAGTTTCTCTGCTTTTAAACAATACCGCCTCCTGAGTCCACGCGCCTTTCCGTATTTAATACTTAAGAACCGAGCTGCCGAAAATACATGCCGTCACGTCCAGAATGAAATAAAGTCGAGTCTTAGAGTATAAATTTTGAGGACGGCGTGATAATTCGCGCCTGGCGACTAATTACTTAATCTTCGTGAGTAGAGTCTAATTAAAATCTTGTAAAAGACGTGCCGAAGGTGTGCCGTATCTTCGCAATAAAATCCAAAGCAAGGTGCGCGTCACAATATATTTAAGTATGTATATATATATGTATGCATATATAAATATATACATATACAGGGTGTCCGACAATTAATGTAAAAGTGTTCGTAGACAGGTAGAAGAAGTAAAACTGAGTCAAAAAGAACCATTTTCCTGAACCATTTTTTTCTACTACATATAATAAAGGAGTAATTATTGAATAAATCAAGCCAATCATCGCCGACCTCTAGCCAAACGCATGTCTTACTAAAGTTAGTTTCCATAATCTCCATTCACTGTTTCGTTTAACAAGTTATTTGCATGTAATAAAAAGTATTTCTTGTTTTATGTTACAATAAGGAACTGACGTATGAAGTAATTCGACGTAACTAATGTGATATTGATATTTCTTTAACTGTATAATACTCTCTGGAATACTTTAAGTTATTTCTATCTCATATAAGATCGAAATAATAGATATATATCTACTGTTTTTACCAGCTGTATGTATAAATTTAATATACTGTATAACTATATACTTGCAAAACATCGAAAAAGTATTTCAAGTTGAAATATCGTTCCAGCGTAACTTTTTACTAAGAACTTTCTATTAGTACCATTAATGTAGACTGAAATATGTTTGTCTTTTAAGCATATATATAGAGAAAGATATACACTAGTATATGTAAATGTATTAAGATGGAATGTACCACTTTCATTGTATTATAAAAAAATCTAGATTCAAATAAAATATTTTATAATAAGATGTTACAAATCTTTAGAGAGAAAATATCACCTAAGAGACTCATCATTCCTATATACAACAATAAAATAAATCTGTTTGTTCATAAAATAAAACTACTGTGTATGTTGTATATTGTATTGTAAAATTTTCGGCGCAGAATAATTCGGTTTGATTTTTTTTTGAATGTTTAGTCTTTTCGGATTTGTAATTTTATTTTATTACTTGGTGTTTATGTTTGCAAACAAAAAATTCATTATCTACCACGTGAATATTAAGTTCACTATTATTATCACTATTTTGTGTTAATATCTTTTTAACAAACAGTGAGCACTACTTAAAAACTTTAGCAAGCCACTCAATGTCACGATTTTGACATTTGACAAACTCAAAAAACTGCTTCTTCAATCGGCCTAATTACCGAAACTAGCACTTCAATGTCGCGTAAATACCATTGCAAACAATTTTAGGTTACTTATAATGTAACAATAAATATAGCCAAAATCGCAAAGTTTGTCACAAGTAACATTAATTTTTTTTTTAAATCTGACGTATTCGACCGATTTCGCAATCGGATTTGTTTTCAGCGATTAACCATTCATAGGAAACCACTTCGTTTATTCAGGTTTCTCACTATCAGTTTATTTTTGTAGATCTGTATAACTTGTGTGCCGCACATCGTCGTTCCTACTGACACTACATCTTTTAAAAAAGAAATATTGTACATAAATGTAAGCATGAAGAGAGATGAGAAATTGGAGAGGATATCTAATACGAAATAAATAAATCCACACAGTGACATAGAGCACACACTTTATTTCTCAATTAGTATTATAATAATTCATTTAGCATTGACCGAAATCGAATATATATATGTATATATATATATATTGTATATTTCTTTTTAAATCGAGGTCAATATAATCGTAGTAGATTAATTTATTACCAATACAAGTGTAATTAATCGTAATGTATTGTCTGAAAGTATCACTGCGTTGCATCCACTGGTCGTCCCCTTTGCATTTCGTCAAGATGGGGATGTCAACGGAAACGGCTCGTGAGAGGCGGGAGAGAAAGGATAAGAAAGGTGCGAGGTGAACAAGAAAGAAAAATATTATCTCAATATAGGAGGAACAGCACGAGAGTTGCGACGCAACTCGTGTTTCCCGCGAATCCCGGATTTTCTGGCGCTTACAAAATATAAGTAGGGCCCGAGGTAAAAATCTTTCCGGGAAACATGAGATTCGTCGTCGAGTTATTTTTCACACGCTTACCGATGTGGAAAGAGAAAATCTACATCCGGAGAAAGATGCATGAAAAAAAGGGAAACGAAGAAGAGAAAGATGATGATCTTGATAAAACAAATGGGGAAAGAGATAGGAAACCAGAAGCTTCTTTCTCTATGACCAAGGATGCTCAGTGATTTTTCTTTACGGGGATCGATGTAGATCCGGCGCGTCCGCTCGATCCCCAGAAGTTAGATTACAATTAGAACGCGGAGGGTTCGTCGCGCTCGCCCGCAAAAACCGCGCGTTATGATATTTTTTTTAATTATATTTCATATTATCTTTTTTGTTTTATGTTTCTTTTACGTTTCACTCACAAGTGCGCGTGTCTATATATAAAATAAAAATATAGTAGCTCGCACTGCAGATAAAATATCGTGTGTAAAGTGATTTATTGTGTGATAAAAGATATCAGTATTGAACGAATTGATGAATTTAATTTCTTAAACATTGCCTCGAAATTCAAAGATTACGAAAGAGGTGACGGGAGACAGCATGTATATGGGGATGAGAACGCATTGTTTTCTTCGGGCGAGAACGCGCGAGCTTTCCGCCGAACAATATTTAACATGTAACAATAGCCAACATTTATAGAATAAGATACCGATTTAGTATTTATCATTAAATTCATTCTCTCTCGCGATCGCGCTAATCTTGCCTTTTCTCTTTACCGCGCTCTGATAATCGCGCGAGCCGGTCCACGAACAATCGAAACGCAAAGTGCGGACCGACGCGATTTGTTAAATTAAACAACGTATCACGCAGCAATATAGATTTCTTCTCGCACAGATAGTAATAGAGCATATAATATATATATATATATATCTTTCTCTCTCTTCCCAGCGCAGTGTTTCTCAAATTTGTTTTCTCCCTCTGCCGATCGACGAGAACTCGATCGATCAGGGGCGGGTTTTTACGTGAACACTGAAAATATTTAAATTTCAGGCCTCCAGCTCTTTGGAAACTATTTTTAAGTATATTTCATTCAAAAATTGTTTTAATTTTCGAATTAAACAGGTTCTGAAGTTTTTTCTTAAACTGTCGCACTGCATATATTCTACTAAACAATTTTTGTATGACTTTTAATTTTTCGATTTAAAAAAATATATTTATTATAATGTATATTGTATATATATTGTAATTAAAGCACATGAATAGAGAATGATCGTATATATTTGTTTGATACAATAATACGAGATGTTTTCTTCAATTTCTTTGACAATTATTCATTGGAGACCTAAACATTATTGACTTCAAACTCTGAAGAGTTTTTCACCACCCGTCCCTGCAAGATAATTAGCGTTTTATTGCTATCATTCTAATTGACAAAGCATCGCCGGCCAACTGTTACAACCAGAAAATAATCCCATCACGATCAAAAGAGTTAAAGTCAATTCTGATTCTCGATTACTTGCGCTGAAAATTAAATTACTTTGATTCTATTTGTTATATATCACATTTTCTTTGGCGCACTTCTAAGTTTATTAAAACTTATGACGAAAAAAGAGAGAAAGAAAGAGAAAAAAAATTCTTTTATCTACTTACAAAGTAATAAATCTCAAATTTTTAATTAAATTCTCGCTATTGTTTCAACTATTATATTTATTTTATTATATATCATTATGTGTGATATATATTTTAGCTCAATAAATAATTTGTTCTTGATTTTTTAGAGATATTCTTTCAGAGATTATTCGTCATACTGATTATGTGCGCAAATCACGCGAGTAAACGAGAATGCAGATGTCATTTTCGACATTCGCATTTGCGCGATACGAGTTTTTTTTCGTTTCGCAAAAAACGAACGTTACGAACAAAATTGCTGGAGCGAGAACAAATGCGGTTTCACGTGATTTTTTTTTTGTCGTTCGCGACGCAAACGAAGAATTAATACAAATTTCGAGAATATTATGCCTCGCGCATTTTAATTAGCGGAGAAGTAATTTATCAATTTGCTTCGCATCGAAAATATAGCGAATAGCCCTCTTTTCCTCTCCCACTTTTGCTCCATTTTGGCCCCTCCCTCTTTTCATTTCCTTAATCTGTCCGCGCAACGTTTTGAGAAACACTGGTCTAGCGATGTGGCCGCCCCCACCGGCTAAACATCATGGTGTTAAACTCTTAATAAAATGCACAGCATTGATAACACCTTCCGAAAGAAGTTTCGTTTTTTTTTATCTCACAGCGATAATAGTGTAGGTGAAACTCACGCGGGCTTTTCCCCCTCACGGGTTCTTGTTTTCCCTTCGTTATTACATTAGTTCGTCCCTCTCTCAAGTAAGGACTCGACTGGCGACGGTGACACGTAGAACAAATTTTACATAACATCGGTGATACCATATTCCATCAGAGAATAATGTACAGACGGCTGTAAATAAACGTGCTTTTGTGTTGAAAAGTGAACATCCCCCGACTCGAAATGTACGTCTAAATATATTCTCTTGTCTCTAAAATATGTCGTCTTTTATAAATGTGTATACATCGCGTATATATTGTTCAAATAATAATTTCAAAAAGGAATGTAAGTTAGAGAGATTAATATCCACTACTTTAAGCCGTTCGTTTTTGCTTATAACATCGCGCGATACAGTTATACGTGAAGAAACTTCTCTCCTAAACTTTAAAAATCGCGTTAACGCTACGAGATCTATTCTTTAGAGAATCTCTACCTACTATACCGAAGGATTTTCAAACGAACGGCCAAAAATCATCTCGAGAAGCTATAGAAAAATTATATCCTACGTTTTTTTCTAGATATTTATTTTTTACTCTAATTAACAAACTCGCTCGAGTCGAAAGATGTTCATTGCCATTCTGGATTTGAGTTTTTCAAATTTACAACACTCAATCCGTTTCATCGGTGTGAGAGATCGCGCGAATGGTAACAATGAAAACACGCGAGCAATGACAAAAAAAAAAAAAAAAAAAAGACAAACAAACAAAAAAGCCGTCGTGTTCCCACCGTCGCCCTTATCGACAATATGTATGTACGTGTAAGTAATATATACTCTAATGTCATTATACATTATGCTTAGCAGATATCGCTTGAAGATTTTTTTTTACCTAAAAATCCACGTGGCAACGAATAACCAAGTTTCCTTAATTACTTTCATTGTTCTGGCGGTTGAACTCTCGTACAGAAGTCACACAAAAAGGGGAAGGAAGAGAAAACCTTAACGATCGCAGGTCGCGCGGGTCTGCAAAATCATTATAATTGTCGAAAACGCGCGCTAAATTGTACTAAACGTAATTGTACTTGTGTGTGTAAGCACGGTCTTTTCTGAGATAAGCAATAAATGCTAACTCAAACGGTAAGTCTTATTCCTCATTCTTCGTTTTACTCTCTTGACGATAACGGTACAACGACGAGAACGATATTAAGTGTCTGGTCTTTTCCAACTTGTATATGCGAAAATTACAACAAATTAAATAAGTATCTTAATTACTTAAAACTTATGTTAAAACTGCTTAAAATTATCGTCAGCAAAGTTCGAACTACGTAACTTACGCGACTGACGTTGCAAAGTCGAAAAAGTTTCGGCTGTGTGTGTGTGTGTGTGTGTGTGTGTGTGTGTGATGTAAATTTCATGAAACAAAAAGTAAGAAAAATAGCGCGTAAAAATTGCACTATCTGCTTTTTGCGAAGTAATTTCGCGTAGCTTTAAAAAAACTTTGTTGATTTTTATCACACTCAATAAGTGTTATCATTTAATTGCACAAAATTCTGCAATTTCGGGAACGTCTTCATATTCAAACCAAATTATTTTTTCTCTACCGAACTTGAATCTCAGCTGAAGATTTGTTGATTTTTTTTACATATAATTTGTATATTTCTAGCATAAAAAATTCAAGAGAGAGAAATGTGATTTTTGTCTCTTTTCTAATTGATAAATATATTTCGATCGTAACGTTCTATATTATCCTGCAATCAGTTTGCTACAATTATATAAAATAAGTTTAATGATGCGGAAATACAAGAGATCACGTAAAAGAATCTACAATCCTATAAAAAAAAAAAATAATTCAATGATTATAATAAATACATTTGCTAATAATTCATCATGATTAACATCACCGAAAGTTTTTCGACCGCAAACATCGATCGAGATCATCGATACGAAAAACAAAAAGCTAATATCGAGCATTATCTGTACAAATATAAATTGATCACGACTTCGTGGAAGAGATTCGCCGCCATTTTCGAGGTATGCTTATAAAGTAAATCTTATAAAGTAATAATTTTCTAACTTCTAGCTAGTGTCATCTAGCAATTAAAAAAAAAAAAAAAAAAGAATAGAACGCAGACGAAAGAAAGAAAGAAGAACGGTAAAAACGATTGAAAGAACTCGGATTGAGGAATGGAAATGAACAATCGCTACAATATAATGATTACATATCGTTATGCGAGTATATTATACGAGTATAACGAGTCTGATGCGCCGCGCGGACCAACGCAAAATATATTTATTGACGTGACTGAATGATCAAACTCTCACCATTACGACAAATGACAATCTTAGTTTATAAGAAAATAAACGAAGAAACTTTTCTGACTATTTAGTGATCGAGTAAGCCGCGAATGAAGTAAGATTGCTTTATCAACGTTTATTTATCAAATTCCGTTAATGTTTCTATCAGCCGTATGTTCCGGTCGTATATTAGATAAAAATATAATCAAAAATATATATATGCATGTGTGTGTGTATTTGTGTGCATAACATGATCAGTGAAAAGTCTCGAAATCGTTTTTTGTTTTTTACACTGGAAGCTTAATGATTTTATTTCTTAGACTCAAAAACGACGACGCTTCGTATACATATTTCATAGTTCAAATTACATCTAAAAATGTTTCATAATTTCTTTATTAACTACCTTACAAGTTAAGAGCTAAGAGAGAAAGTTGAAACCGGGAGATTAACGTTAGCCAAACTTAAAACTTGTTCACTAACGAACTATTAAATCTTCTCTTCTTCCTCTCTCCTTCCCAATTCCCCGAAGCAATCTTACTCCATTTCGAAACCCACGTGATACACGATGCGAGGACGAAGTACAATAGAATTATTCTATTCCAAATATTTGGAATAGAGACAAACGCCGAGATTTGGCTCTCATTACCGGAACGTTACGTAGCGCTTTCGGGAGTAAAACGAATTCGAAAAAAAAACCCCTAGAGGCGAAAAACTATCGGAAAATTCGCGCTCCACCGCAATCAATTCACCCCACGCTCGGTCTTTACTCTTTTGTGCACTCGAACTCTGCGGTGAAAATATTCCGAAAGCGTCTCTCCGAGACGAGAGGTGAAATGGAGAATGTAAAAAAAAAAAAAAAAAAAAAGATGAGGAGAGAGCCGCCCTTGACAGTGAACTGCTATTGTAGGTACTTTGATGTGTTTGTCATGTATATTATATTCGTGTGTGTTAAAATATCACGCGTTTCGTGTGATAAACGTGTAACACATCTATATGTATCTATGCACATAATTCTTGGATATACATTCGTGTGTTTGTGTGTATAATTGTGTGATAAATGTATGTATGTGTACCATGTGTGTTTGCGCACGCGAAGGTCCTTACGTCGATAAAATACACTATAACATTGTATATGTACATTAACATGCGTAATAGAGGCTATTCTCGGGTTCGAGGAAAGGGTCTTCTCTCTGTGTAGGGCGAGGAAAAAAGGGGAATAGAGAAACTCGAATCGCGCGTCCTGGACACAAGCCTTCGAGACAACGCAAACGCAAAAATAGTGACGATATTATAGATATTAAGGTAAGAACAGGGTTGTCGAAAGATAGGAGGGGTCTGTCTAGATTTTTAGGCTAGCTGGAGAGTAGAATAATAATCCTGTAATGGTAGACGCTAGTGAACGAATATACAGGCTCTTTGGCTTCGAGATGCGCGGCGTCCTCTTAGGGTAATGGCACTACGACCTGCACGTAGGACACGGGGAAGTAGCCGGTACGACCGTCCACGGTGCGCCCCTCGAACCAATTCTCGTCGATCTTCTGGGTCAAGGTAATCGTCTCGTTCTCCTGCGAGAGCAAAAACCGATTATTAAGACGCTTATCGATTGTCTGTGAGAAGACAATGAAGGGAGAAGAAAAAAAGTGTGTAAAAAAACGCGCTTGGGAAAAACTTCAAACGTTTGTTTAGAACAAGAGAATTCTTTTGACTTACCTTGAACCCAAGTTCACCGGGATTTTCGGGTTCGAAATCGTAGAGGGCTGTGCAGCATGGTGTTCTTTGTGTCATCGGCGTCCTCGCTGGTGATTTGCTCGGCGAGGGCAAAGGCGAAGCTGAAAATAAGTCGGCACGAGTGTGCTAAAAACTACTAAAAGTGGAAAATCTGACAAGAACACGTCTTGCGGTGATTGCTAGTTGTATCACACACGTTCAAAACTACAAAAATATATCTGACCGCTCTAGCGATCGCGGGCTGTTTCGCGCGTGGAAATCACATCGTGTCGGACAAAGCAGCGACAGCGTGTCGATCTCTTTCTAAATGCAAAAACAAAATAACATCGCGCACAATGTGCGCTCGAGGAAAGCGTGACAAAATATACTAAACTCCTCGATAAAAAAAAACAAACAAACAAACCAATATTTAAGTAACAATAGAAGCTGTAAAACAAATTAATTGGAATTTCTGCAGCAAGATACAAATTAATATTTTAATGTCAAATTCAAATGTGAACTAAACAAACATTATATTTTTCTTTCTTGTTGCAAATTATTCAATCACTTAAAAACTATTTAACGCAATTTTCTTCTTCTACGGCACAGGGTGGCAAGGCACTATCTAACAAACGTGCATAGTGATTGGTCGTCAGCATGGTGACACGAGAAAGCGCGGTGGTTAATCTCGAAAGAAAATCGAAAGAAAAAAAAACGAAACAGAAAGTTGCACACGGGACCGATCGCACCAACTCCGATCATTGATGTCCTAATGATCGCCAATTCCGATAAGGGATTTGATGTTCGAATTCCAGATTGCTACTGTTAGATAGACTAAGTAACTTTAGCAATTACGGTCAGCATTAAGCGGACCTTAATAGCGTAACGGTTGGTGCAACCGCTCTCGGAAGGGAATCGTCCCTTGTTTGTTAGAGAGAAATAGAGAAAGAGAGAGAGCAAAAGAGAGAGAAATAGAGAGAGAGAGAAAGAGAGAGAGAGAGAGAGAAAGAGAGAGAGAGAGAGAGAGACAGAGAGAGAGAGACAGAGACAGAGATAAAGAGAGAAAGAGAAGGAAACCCCCATGCAAAGTTTACCATTGGCAGATTGTGGCGGGTTTCCGGCCGGAAATAGCTCGAGCTGCGAGCGCTTCCCGTCCGCATGAGTCGGAGAGCCGGCTCGACTTGCCCCTGTATTGTGTCAGAAGGACAGACATTCAGGTATACCACATTATACACAGAGCACGATCGGAGGAAGAGTAATGAGTGTGATAAGAGTGTGCGTGTTTGTGTGCGTGTGTATGTGTTTTTGCGCGAAATCGCGGGGGTCGAGACTAAAAGCATTAATGTTCGACACGTCAGTGTCTAATTGACAGCAAGATGAATGTATCTGTTGAGTCCCGCGCGAAGACCCACTATCTTCCAGAAACTCTAATCTAAATAACGTATCGATGTTCCATTAATTCTTCAAGTAAGGCTGACGTTTCAATAAACAATGTTATACATGGAAAACAAAGATTTGCTAGATTAGCAAGAAATTAACAGAATCACTATGTGACCAGCAAAAAAAACTTTACCGAGTCTATTGAGATTTTTATTGACAAAACAAAACTTCAATACACTCGACAAATTGGTTTTTGCTGGTCGTGTAATAGCAAAACTTTTTTTTTTTTCGTGTACGTTAATTCGTGTGAAATAAAAAAAAAACTATTTCCGTTCTCTTTATGCGACAAATTATCGATTTCCAATAAGATTAATTTTTAATTGCAATTTGTTCGAGATTTAAATATCAAAAATCGAAACCATAAAATAACTCGGCTGACGTTAGACAAATAAGGGGAAAAAAGAAACATTTCAGAAAGAAAAATTAGGTGGCTCGTGGTATCCTGGTTACATTCGAGACAAGTGCATAGTAAGGATTGTACGTGCGAGAGAACGAAACACAGGAAGATATTCAACATCATACGATATATAGCCCGGGGAAACGCTCCATATGGCGTAAAAGACAGAAGAATGCAATATATTGTGATCAGTGTGGTGTATCAAGTAAAATAAAGGGGTTGAAAGGTAAACACCGGCATGACAGAGAAAGAGAAAGAATATAAAATACGGGAGGAACAGTTAGACAGCCAGACCACCCGAGTGTCGTCGCGTTCTGTGTTGGAGTATCTGTGAAATGCGTTTTACCGTGAAGAGAGAAGTTCCCACCGTTCATGTGGTCCGACATCGGCAATGAGCTCTCCACGTGCAGGTCCGCCAGCGTCTTCGGTACGAATTCCAGCTTCGGCCGGTTCGCCGCCTCTTCTTTCCTGAAGAACAATCGCAGATTCGTCCATGCATAACATTATTCCAGGAACAGATAAATGAAGTTATAAATATAAAATTTCTCCAAAAGGTTAACGCAATGCAATCAAAGAAATCACGTAATAGATAATTTGATCTCGCAAGTGAGTATTATTTTTTTAAAGTACGTCTTAACGTTTTGACAATAAAAAAAATTTGGTAACCGTACGATCTCGAGTACGTACTTCTCCAGAAGTGTTTCCGTTAACGTTCTGAGGATCTCAGTGCACTGTTGATGATAATCGAGGAGACCCTCGCTGAAGGTTGCCAATTGCGCTACTTGTTCCACCTACAAAAAGAACGACATAAAATTCTCTCCTCACCGCGCCGTTTTTTTTTTTGCGCGCGTTTCCGATTAACGACGACAACAACTCACGTCGTTCTCCAACAAATTGAACATGCCCATCTGCGCAAGATGAAGACTCTCCGCGAACTTCTCTTCGGCCTGACGAATCTCGTCGTCTGAAACGTGAGAACCTGTTCGCAAACGGTTGCCCCGCCGACGTATTAAAACACAGTTGCACTACTTTGGGTTGCCTAAAATCTAAATGCTTAAACTACTCGACGCAAGAACAGGCCGCTAAATTATAATTTCACGAGCGCGCATGCGTAGCTACTTCCGACATCTGTCAGAAAGCGTGTCTGAAAGCATTGTTGCAAATAATACCTTGAATATAATACTAGAATTAACATTTCTAAAGCTAACAATGGCGCGGACTTGACAACGCTAGAGAGTCTAAAAAGCTTATTTAAATTTTTTAAATACTTTTTGGACGCGTTTTATATTGTTCAAAGATAGATTACATTCAATTCTTCGTAAAAATTTCATGGAAATTTTTTACGAGCGGGAAAGGAGGGAAGAAAAAAGTACACAAATCAACAATAAATAAAATAAGGGTAATGAGTAATAAATTTCAAGAAAACGTGAACAACAGGTTTTGAAAACGCACAACGAAAGTCACCGTACCAACATGCGGTGACGAAGTGTTCGATCTCGCTGGACTTCCAAAGTGCGGACTGCTAGATCTCTTCCCCATGACTAATAAATAATTCAGTGAGTATCAACAAAGAGACAAGTAAATCGTACAAATAAATAATCAGAAAAAGACAAAAATAAGTTCAAGATAAATCATCATAACGCGACTAGATCACGACGACGACACGTGGGACTGAAAATATCCGCCATCGTGGTGTTAGAAAAATCATGTCTTTTAATTCTAAAGAACATATTTTGTACAAATTTACACAAATTAATATAATATAAATTAATATAACGTAAGCTGTTGCATACATTTAATATTTACATAAACTGCAAGATATAAATAAGAAGAGTGGATGTTTCTTTGCTTGTTTTCGTTAATACAATTTGAACAGCAACAAGCGATAACGATGCGAAACTTAAATCTCTTCTTCGTGTAGATTAAAGAAAGATGTTCTCTTCGCTCTATTTTCCGATCCACGATGTGTAACACTGATTTGTTATTCTAGTTGATTGCGCTCAGCAGCATGCGCGAGCAAGAGATCTTCTTCCTATTATTTCTATAAAAACAAGAGTTGCGTCATGCGTATCTCTGCTCATGCAACTTGACTTTATCGTAACAACAACGCGCTATTCCAAGAGGACGAGAACATCTACGGAACATGATACTATTTTCTCACGCGCATGCCGATAATGAAAAGTGAAGCCGCCTTTCGTATAAAAGAGCTTAAAAACTCCACCAGCGAATTATCAGAAAACAAAAGATGCTGAAAGAAGATGTAAGTGAGAAGTCGAAACAAAAACTACCGAAAGATCGAAGGTTGAAAAATCGTTCAATCGCGTGTTTTTTTAATTGACACGGCAAGTACCAAAACGACACACTGACGCGAAGCGCGGTACGAAGAGATATTAATCCAAATTAAATGCAGAAGGTTTAAAAGATAAAGTGATTCAATAAAACGCCACAAGTGAAAAATTTTGAAAATTTAAAAATGAATATTTCTTGTGGCTACATACCTCGTGATTTTTTGTTTACTGAAGGTATATCGCGTTATTTTAAGGCGTTTTGTTTGCCGCAACAGGAAAAAGAGAATTTCGCATTTGTGCCATTTTCGCGCAATTGTGCCATTTTTTTCGTCCCGCATATCGGAAATTTATTCTCCCCGCTTCGCTGACACCTTTATCTCCGCAAAAATGACGATTTCGCCGTACTCTCGCGACCTCTTGCCATTTTAGAGGCATCGCCGCGTAATGTCGTTTCCCGCGCTTCTCTTTTACGACATCGTTGTCCGGGAAAAATCACGACCGCGCTGCATTTCCGCGCTGTCGGAAAACGAAATCTACCGTCGTTAGTTTATATCCCGTAAACATTACCAGTTCCATATTGATGGTTTTTTTATGTTGACTCTTCAAGTCGCGAGAGCGTACACGGTGAGCGACGTGTTCGTGCAAGGACACGTGTTGTGCGACGACGTCGTTCACTCTCCTGTTTAAATCAATAATAAGAACGCGAACGCGCGCGCGAGAGGACTCGAGATGAGAGAAGCGAGAGAGAAAAAGAGAAATAGAAAGAGAGAGAGAGAGAGAAAGAGAGAGAGAGAAAGTGACATATGCGGAGTAAAACTTTGAATATACCTTTCGCCTGACGTCTTCGCTTACAATCGAAGTCCAGCCTGCGGCCTTGCAGTTTCTTCCGGTGGTGCTGAAACAACAAATCAGAGCGAATCGAACATGCCCGACTGTGGAAGCGCGAGGAAGTAACAAGTGAGCTTGTCACGACGCGCGCCTAGAATACACACAACACAATTCGCCAATAACCGTACCATCACTTCCTTGAGATCCTTGGTTTGCAAATGATGCAACGGCTCGAGGAAATTCTGCTTGATGTTGTCGTCCAGCGAATACTTGACGTCCGCCATCTGCTTCATAGCTTCGCCCATTTCAATGAGACTTTGAGCTGCAAGTATTTGATAAGAAAGACTGAAGGTTAAATATAATGAAGATTTTCCCGCTCAGACGTCGTCTCGCGTTCTATCGATCTTCCACTTTAGATACAAACTTTCACAAAATCACATTCGAGAACATCAATAAATCCGAGGAAGCACAATATGCAAAATTATTTTGCAAAAAACGTCTCGATTATTAAATTCTTATTTCTGCCAGTAAACTGTTACGTGGAAAAAAAAATTTGGAATATAAGAAATGTTTCGGTTTTTAACGTGATATCCTTTCACAGGAATATGTCTAGAAAAAATAATTGTCTAATTCAAAAAAAAAAAAACTAAAATTGTCGAAATCTTTAGAAAAAAATTATTTGTAGATAAATAAAACTATGGGAAAAGATTAATTAAATTTCTTGTTAGTAGTGTTCGGTTTTTTTTTTCAAAAACTTTCGAAATTGCGCGTACCGAAAATGCTGTCCTCGCCCATTTTTTTGCCGTAAGTGAGCATGCAATCGCCGAGTACACCTTCCGGTTGAGGATAAGTGGAAGCCTTTGCCTGACCGCTGAGCTTACTGATACCCTTGACCGCGGCCATCTTCGCTCTTGCTGTCGGATTCGGCTGAAGAAACTCTTTTGTCTTCATCTGAAGTTCCTCAACCAGCTCGCAGGTTACGTCCGTTTTCTGTGTGTGACATGTTTTCACGTGTATAACTGTTGCCTCTTATTGTCAATTTATTACTTTACTGAGAACGCAAAAAAAAAAATTCTTCGTAAAGCTTGGAAGTTTATTAACTATCGAGAACGAACGTCACAAAGCGAAACATTTAAACTTCACTATTGTTCCTCTTGCAAAGAGAAATGTGAAATTTAATAAAACAAAAATTCTCGGTATAGAGAAAACCGTTATATTCTTTCTTCAGAGATATCGTTTCATTGAATAACGTTTGAGATGAACAGAAATTCTTTTATTTTTTACTGTTTTTTTCCGAATGCGAACTCAACTTGTGCGAAGCTTCTCTTAAAGAAGCTTCGAAGTAGAAACCTTATCATAAAAAAAATTTTTCTTTTATGCAAAAAACTTAAAATCCAGATTAACTCTGAAAACCGATTAAACGGATGTGTAATGGATACGTGGACAATTTGTAATTACGAAGAAATTAGAAGCAATTTAAAAGAAAGAATTCGTACAATTGCAATATTCACGAGAAAAAATCCAAAATCTCAAATGTATTACAATTAAAAAAAAAAAAAAAACTAACTGGCGCTCGTGACCGGTAATTGATAAGGCGAAGCGAAAAAGAAACGGGATTAAGTCTTAAAAATTCTGCAATAAAACCGTCGCATAGATCACGTGTAGGTCATTCTTGTGACAGAGAAAGTCGTGTAAAAATGTAAAGTGGCGCTTTTCTCTTCACTCACAAAACCGGCACGGGGCGCAAAAATATCAAACACTCACCCTCTCCATATCCACAAAGTCGACGTCAAGCTTTGTCCCTTCCGCTCCGCCCATCTTCTCCGTCATGTACTGCAAGAAAATTTCATCCTCCTTAGTTCACAATCTACTACAGTTACTACAAGTCCGTAGTGAATCTCATTTGGGTGGTTTCTTAGTCAGACTCGATGAGATTACACGAAAGTAATTTGTACTTCGTAAAATATGGTCGGTACTCATCGCAATCTTGTTATTCAGCTTTTAATGCCGAAGAGCTCGAGCACAAAAAAGTTATTGATGTATCGTAAGGTATTAAAATAATAACAGAATTTACTTTCAAAATTAAATCAAAATTTGAAAAATTTAGAAAAAATTGACACATGTATTTTTTACGTTTAAAAATTTTCAAGTGACACATATAATCATTTTTATGTGCATGTGTGATTTTTATCACGGAATGAGATGGCTCGAGGAAATCTTTTTGGACGGTATAAACTGCTATAATAGAGAAGAACCCATAACGTTTCCGTTAGTTCGACCGCGTTGATTGGACGAGGTCGGCTAATTGCTTCGTAAAACGGAATTATCTTGAAGGACTTCAGATTTTCTCGGACAACGCAATATTTCCGAGAACACGAAGTCAGGGGGTTAAGACTTCGAGAAGAAACGGATATCAAAGACGGAGAAAATATCAAGAGGATGCCAATAATCAATACAATCCGCAGCTTCCTTCGTTAATGCATCGTGATGTAAAATATTGGCACCAACGTTGAATCTTCGCCAATGTGAAAAGAAACACGTATTCTGCCAACAAAAATGTATAAAAATCGATCGGATCGCTTAGCGTGCAAGAGTTCGCGGTGATAATGCAATTTCTTGTAACACGGACATTTTATATCTTGTATATTACCTATTTTCGATCTATATACGTGTATAAAACAGATTTTTCATTTACATTATAAAATTATATAAAATTAAAATATATATATGTATATTTTTATATAACATACATGTTTGAAAATAGATAGAAAATAAATGGATAGAGACGATAAATTTGGTCAGAATCTGGACAGAAAACATATTTATCATTTTGCAAAATTCATTATTTATTGAGTTAATGGATTATTGAATGTGAACGTGTGGGAAGCAATTGGTCCGGACTCTGTAGGCGTCTATGATTTTCATTTGTGACAATCAGCTGATCGCGAGAAACTGTGTCACACATACCGCTCGCTTGTTTGTTTCGCCTCTTTGTTACTTTGCACAATATAAGCTAGGTTTTTTACAACTGAAAATTTATGCACACGTATCGAATCACTTGCTTCCCACACGCGCTAATTGACTCACATTTAATGAATAACTCAAGAAATATTGCAAATTTTGCATAAAATGATAAATGACTTTTCTGTTCAGATTGACCTAATCTTTTTTCGCACCTTGACTGTGTTAAAGTTTTTTTTTGATACCGTGTATGTGAACTAGTGGTATAATTATTTATAAATAGAAAAATTACTGTAGAAATAAATACTGTTGATTACTTTTAAAAATGAAGCGAAAAGTTACTAGTTGGTTCAACGCTGCGAAATTTAAGATCGCAATGCACCGTTATCAGAAAGTAAAAGAGGATCAAAAGTTTTTCAGTGAAAGTTGACTCAGCGTTTTCTCTTGTCTCCTTCTTTCTTTCTCGAGATCTCTTTTGCAACACAAACAACGCGTGAACGAGGATTAAATGGACCAATGATGTCGGAGCTAATTATCGCCGTTATAAGCGCAGACATAAGCTCTTTTAAAGCTGCTCTAAATGCATTGTTCGAGATTTAGTTGATGCAAATCAGATATTTACTCCGTCGAGACGCGGTCGGAATTTTTGACAAATAATACGATCGGAAGAATGTCTGATTATAAATCGCGCTTCAGTAAAAAGCTGACTTTGTCGGCTACGGGGAATTATAATAGCAGGCGCGATCAATCGCGCGTGCAGAAAGAACGGGAGCAAAAGAAGGGGAGAGTGAGATAGAATCTCGCGCAATTAGTCGCGAACGAGCTTTACGAAACGGGATTGTTCGCAAAAGGGACAGCGAGAAGAGAAAGAGAGACAGAGAGAGAGAATGAAAGACCTTGACCCATATTTAAAGACGTCCCACTTTCCAGAGGGACGCAGCACAGGGACGTAGTCGTTACCCGATAGTATAAACGTCATCCTTGGAGTAAATTTGACCCACATCGTGTGTCGCTCTCGCACAATGTCGCACGCGCTTCCTGCCGATGCGCTTCCCATTGCCGGCAGTTCGAATTCTCGCGTGTAAAATAATGCGATAGACGTCTCCGGGACGATGTGGAATCATTCCGATACATTTAAATACATATTAAACATGCTTGTAAATTTGTGACAAGAAAGACAAAAAAAAACTTGAATTTTTTAATGTGAACGTTTGATATCGATATGTGGATTATATGCGCTTTTTTTTTATAAAATTTAATAACGTAATATATCGTGACCTCTCGCGGGAGTGACTTGACCTGAGAATATAGAAAATTCAAGAAGTAATGATATTTGAAAATTGAATATTTGAAGATATATATCGAGGAAAATAAGCCAAATATTTTTAAAGGTCATTGAATTTAATATAAACGCACGGATAATGCATACGACATCATCATATATACGCGACATAATAAAAGATGTATTGCTATTGCTATTACTTTGAGCTGAGATAAATTTCTTTTTTTATTTCAAATTAAATTTTGATATATATTTATAATTCTAAATGGAATTTTTTCTATTTCGCTTCCGTGTTGAAATTACATTTGAAATATTTTACGATTGCGTCAAGGCAATGGGAACAAGCGTAAGTAATAACTAGAAAATTGTCTGCGCGGTCAGTTATTAAATTTCTGTTATATTCCCGGAGAAGAGTAAAATACCGGAGATTTATTAATTTTTTGTTAAGTGCGATTCCGGAAACCTCATAAAATTGATTCTATCACGAATAGGAATCATTTTCCCGTTGCGGCTGCCAATAGCCGTGCGAGAGTTACGTAATGGAATGATTGAAAAGCATCACGATTGTCAGTAAGATTGAAGCTCTCGAAACGTCGCGGTATTTATAACCGGATTCATAAATTATTGCAACGCGCAGCTTGTGCAACTTGATCGGCTTGTACTCAAATTTAATAACGCCCCAAATGTGAAAGTCACGTGCATGTATCGCAAAGCTCTTGACACACATTTCGTGTCGCGCTCTTTCGGCTTTAAAAGCACCTTTAAAGCAACTCACGAATCCGAATATATAGCATCGGTCTAACTAAGGGTTAATTACTTTGCTTAGCGGGGTTCATTCGTGCTCGAAAACGAGGCTTTTGTACCCAATTCGTAACACACACGCGCCAATCGTATCCTGACTGCGTTAATCGGGCGGGTCGAATTTCGCAGACGTGCTCGCCGGCGCGTTATCGCTATTCGAGATTGGAATTGCACATCCGCCGCCAACTAAATTGATGCAGAAAAGAGAGAAGTCACAGAGACATCTGACATTTAAGAAGAGAATGAAACGTTTTAATATGCGCCACGTTAATCCGGGAAATTGTTTATTAAATATTTATCAAATGTCAGACGTCAAATATTTACTTACGTATATACAGATAAAACAATTTGCAAAATTTGCTCTGCGGCAGTACCACGAACATTCTTCTCATTCTGTTTAAATTAATGTTAAAATTACACATACATGTATATACCGCGTTACGCAAAAGTGACAATACAAATAACCGAATGTCTATTATGTCATTATCGTTTTTTTATTTTCCCTCCGTCTATTTTCATTTATTCGTCGCAATTTGTCGCGAAACGTGGTTTCTCTCGTCTTTATTATATTTGTCTTCCGACGCTGCGTTTGCGGTGTCCGACAAAGATACATGCGTTTTTCAGTTTTTTTTGCAGAAAAGTGATCGCAAAGCGTCATCGTTTTCCATAATTTACGTTCCACGAGTAATCTACTTATTCGACGATCGACGTCGAGAGCGTACGTATAGGCGTGCATGGCTCGTTACAAAGAGCATGCACGGGAAAGCGCCCGGCCTATGAATATCCTATGTGTATGCGCGCACACATACACAGAGATCGAATTAAGCTCCAGCAAACACACGGGAACACACGGGGAAAATGGCATATTCTCCAAATTTCGCGCGATCGATCGACGACCTCCCGACATCGTCGTTCCGCGAGGGGTTCGACAACGAAATCGAGGAAAAAGAAGCGTCAACGTCGATGGTAAAAATATCCGCTTGTCGTCGTTCTGATATCGATAACAACCAAGCAGGACATCCGCGACGATACTGCCGCAACGATATTCGTTATTTCGAACAGGCGTAACGCGAGAACGTCGCTACAGCTCGCGCAATGCACTTAGAGAACTCGCCGCAACGTGGTTGTACGTTTGTACGTGTATATACATATATCGCGGCTGAATGCAATTAGGGCGCAGAAAGTGAGGCAGGTGTGTGTACGTGCGTGCTCGTGTACGAGAATGCATGCGCGCGCGTTCAATTCCGGCTTTTCCGCGCGTTCGACGACGTAGCAGCAGCCGCGCAATTTTCGCGATGCGCATCGCAATATTCACGCATTATTTACACACGCGCTTAAGCTGAGGAAACTTTATCGCTTCACGCAGGCGGAAAGGTTTCGTTAGCGCGAAACCGGATCGCATTTAATAAATCGCGACGAGCCGCACGAAGAAAACGACCCTTGCAAATTAAATGGAAATGTAAATTTGCATAACGAATTACGGATATTTGTATTTCAATATTAATTGCAAGTAAAATATATTCAAATTGTCATCGTTGAACATACTTTGCTTAGTTAACACTATATATATACATATATATATATATATATATATACGTATATATATATTTAATTTCATAAAACATTCCGTCGTTATATCAAAATTTTGCTTCATATTCACAGCATTAATTGCCCTTATTGTTTATATCTTTAAAAAAAACCTTTAAATTTTTAAATTAGGTTAATAAGGTCTGCTAAAAAATATCAATGAAAAGGTGATTTTTTTTTAGATTTAACTCACGCGATTTTTCAGAATTTGAAACAAGATACACTAGCTTGATTAATCGCACATAAAACAATACAAAACAATACAAAAGAATAAGAAATTACATCGCGATTTGTTTAATTGTTTTTTTTTCGAACTGATTTTTATAGTCGCTGCAAAGAAAGAACGGAATCACTACGTATTTGTCATAAAATAATTCGAAAGTTTTCATAACGCCGCTGTGAAAGAGAAAAAATAATACTTTAGTAAATATTTCATAGGTATCGTTGTTCCTCTTGCTTATTAACATGAGAATTCGGAGCACAGAGTAAGAGCGTAAAGGTCAGAGAAGCTACCATAAATCTCGCGTGGATCGGCGACGGTAGGTAGTTGGATTTCGGTGGCCACGCATTGTGCGATGGTATTTCCCGAGAAGTTGCATCCCCGCGATCGATAGTTTGCACGTTACACAATCGCGCCCGCAAGCTCTTTTCGGATGCGCGAGGTAATTCGCGTTGTTTCACGATCGCGCGCAGTTTTTCGTGCCTGACCGAACTTTTGCGGGCGCGCCAGAGCTTTCAAAACAACGCACGGGAACTTTGCATTTGACATTTGCGGCAGAAACGCTGCAGCGTGCAGTAATTAAGGTCGGAATAACATCTCGCCGACGCGCGCGCCCGACGAGGATAACCTCGTCGAAAGTTGGAACTTGGTTAGAGTTTTCTTCTGCTCGACTTGTTACAAAGAAAGATCGAGACACGCGATGAAGCTGTGTCTTACGGTAAGTTTACAGAAATTAGATATATTCACAGGAATAAAAAAAAAAAAAAACATTGCAAGTATACATTGCGTAATGAAAAACAGTTGCATAAACAAAATATAAAAACAATTATGTTGCATACAAAGTTGTTTAATCAAACCATAATCGGAAAAGTATGATTTAATATATATGGGCGACGAGAGAGAGAGATATGTCGGCGAATAAATAAAAATGTAATAAACAATAAATAATACAATAATAATTAATTCAATATTCCGCATTTTTGCGGTTTTTAAAACTACGTGTTACACGCGTGCAACATTGTACACACGTTGCATCGGCGTATATCCTATCACCGACAGTAGTACACACGAAACAAACAATGCGCGGTGCGCTAAAGCAAATAATATGTACATACATACTATTCATATGTACTTGCACAGTCGCAAATATGAACGCATGGGAATAATTGCAGCAATTTTCATTATTACGCGACGGCGGCACAGAAGTGCCCGTAAATGCAGAATTTCGCACGACACACGTAAGCCGACGCGTGTGCCGCGTACCGTTTAATGCGCAATCTCTCGCGTTGTGCCGATGTTACGGAAATTTCGTAATCAAGTTTTCCATTATTTAAAGAGCACGTTTACGCGCGTGACGCTTGCAAAAATGCGCATCTCGTTACGCGCGAATCTTCACAGTGCGAGAGAAACGTAATATTTGCAAAATAATATTAATTAACGGAAGAGCGCCGAGAGCATGCGGGCACAATCAAACATGTTGCGCAACATTGTAAGAGAGATCGAAAATTAAATTTGCGCTTTTTAAAAAAACTCGTGAAAGAAAAATTAATAAACACAAATATATAATATTATGTTTTTCCCTTTCATATTTAACGTGAAGTACCATTGCCTTGTCGATTCGTTTCTGAACGTGTTTCTCTCAATTAACAATTAGCCGTCAATTAGTCACGCTTGCTGCAACCAAACCCCATTATTAAGAACAACGTCATCGGCGCATGTCCGCTCTGTCGTCGTTCCGAGATTAAACATGGTAGGATGATAGAGCGCAACTACACTTGATAAGAAAACTTGCTGCGTGACACACGCCGGACTAAACGATAAGTAGCAAATCAACGCTGTATCGGATTTAGCTTCGTTTTATTTTGGTCAGTATAATATATTCAACTTTATGTAAGTTTTGTGTATGCGAAAGAGTCCCTATAAAAAATATCATAAAATTCAACAACAATTTCTCTCTCGTTTGCGGAACAATATACATTTTTAGAATATTGCGTCATTTTTTTTTTCAGTTTCTCGCGTAAGTACTTTATTATTTATTAATCGCCACGTCACTTCCTATTCTCGGATCTTCCGAGTTTTGAAGCGCCGGAATCTCTGGTAATAAAATTCTCACTTCTATATTGGGTTGCTTGAGAAACGTCGAGAGATATCAATTTCGCGTTACGGGAGATAATTCACACACTACAATAATCGCGTTTCGCGCTTCGTCTGGCTCGTCAGGCTTGTTTTTGAAAATTTGCATTAAGAAACGTTTCGAATATGGCACATTCCCTTCCGTGAATCGGGCCGCGTATTTACGTCGGATGCGCCGCGCCGTGAGTTTCCCCGGACCGTAATCGCATTAAAGACGCCGGGCATTTCGCGGCAGTCAGAAAGTTTGCGACGACGCTCGACAACCGCGCGCCCTAAGTAAAGTAGCAATGCATCGCCAGTAATTGGCGTAATGCAGCCTGATATACGAGCGCCGTCGTTAATGTGGGCGATTAAACTTTCAACGATGCGACGCGCGTATCAGCAAATTGTGCGCATCGTACGGAATCGCTAATGCGACGCTCCCTTCAACGCTCGTATGCATATAAGTAACAAATCAATAGCCTTAGCAGACGTGTGAAACACCTTGTGTGACTTCAATCGATTAAATCGGAATAATTAGACTCGGAAAAAAACCTCGCGCGAAATATTCCAACTTCTGATCGTTCACGAATCTCTCGACTAACTTATCAAATTTATTATTATTTTTAATTATTAAATGATCCTCTTAAAAAAGAAATATAATCTGCGCAAAGGAGAATTCTGAAAAAATATTTGGATTCTGAGGACTTTAATAAAATAAGATTTCTAACGAAGATTAATTCGGTTGTGTGAGCCTATATGTTCGTGCAAAATATAGTTTTTGTTTTATTTGAATGATGCAAATTAATACACGTAATAATTTGAATTAAATTCAATTTAAAAATTTGTCTTTGCAGAACGCTTGATTCGCATCACATATAAAATAAAATACCCAATTTACCTCCTCGTGAAGATTAAAAATAACACTTCGCACAAACATGTAGCACACATAGGCTCGCACGACTGAATTAATCTTCATTAGTTTGATATTATACGAGTTGAAAATTGTTGTAAAATAACTTCTTGCGCGTCGCAAACAATATGCTTCGTAAAAGATCTATTAATTTGTCGAGGAATAAGACGACGCGTCAAACACTCACTTGATTCGCCTTGTTGATCTGCTTCTTCAGTCCAGCGAACGCCATGGTTGCGTCGTTGCTTTCTGGATCAACCACAAAATTCTCGCTCTCTCAAACTGTAACAAACGTGAAACAAGACTGTCACACACGGTGTTGCAGACAAATTCAACTCGACGAGGAGAAGGACTTTTCCCGCGTAGGAGGAAAAACGAAACGCGATAAGAAAAACAGAGTTTTTGAATTTATGATAGCCGGCGGCGCGCTAGTTGCCAAGGCGAATGAATGATTTTTCAATGTTATCGATCGCTACTGTTTTCTAACATCATGACTCGTCGCTGATGTAACAGCCGGGTGATGTTGTGCCGCAGATAGAGGAGGAAGAGGAGAAAGAGAAGGTGGAGGTGGCCTTTGAGTGTATACGCGCGGTGATCTCATATACGCATGAAGCCATATATTACAACGTGTGCCGCCGACCCGACCTTTTAAAAGGCTCTAATGAGAACAAATAATGCGTGCTCTTATTAACGACAAACATCGATAGGCCTCTCTCGGCTGCCATGAAAGTATAGAAATGTTCAACACGTAACAAAAAGGTTTTGCTCTTAAAATACAGCAGATATATTATTGTGTTATACATATATTAATTAAATATATAAATAATATGTAATTGTTATATGTATTATTTCTATGTATTATATAATTTATGTATTAAATATATTATTATAGTATTAATAAATACTAATTTAATTATTCAACGAGGATTACTTATGATTATGACACAAGATAGAGACAGCAATTTAACGTGTGCGTATGCCGCGCTCTGTTATTTTATAAATCATGGATGAAGTAAACCTGTATTAAGAATCGAATTACGTGTCTTATTAAGAGCTGGCTGTGTATTCGCATCGTCGATTTTCTATGAAGATTGACATATAGAGATAGTCGCATAAAAAAAAGCAACATATTCTGAAAATGTATAAACGATAAATTTGCATGAGACGGTTTAGCAATAACAGGTTTTATTGCAACCTTTCAATCAGAGCACACAGATATTGCGCATCAATAAATTCATAGAACGGTACGTTTGATGCAACGCGCAGAAGAGTTTCATTTGTAAAATTATGAATTTATTAGCGCGAACTCGCTCTCCTCTATCTTTTTCTCTCTTTTTCTCTCTCTCTCTCATTCTCTCTCCGTTAACATGGTCGACGTTATTTCATACTGGTATAACTCTATTCTGTGAAATCCGTCCATCGAGATAGAGACATATTTAATATAATAGGAGAAGTTTCTTTCCGCGACTCCGTAGCGAGAGACAAGCACGGTATCTATAAGCAGTGAGTAAAATTCAATGAGAGTTCGAGCTGCTCGAAATTCAATATATATCACATTAAAAATTAAATTCGAAATAGTCCTATGTAGTAATTACAAATCTGCAAAATTAAACACAAATGTCAGACAACAATTCGAGCAAAACAACGTATCACACTTTCACACACGAGTTCAAATCTCTTCGGAATAAAATAAAATGCTAATTTTCACAACATCGTGTTAGAAGAAAGACTACAAAAAAAAGTCGATTGTGTAGATAATTGATCCGAGCTGCAAAGGCCGGTCAAAACTCAATACAATCGATTAATCTTGTGACCAAAGACGAGTCAAGTAGAAACACCACCATATCACGCATGCTTTGCGCACGTACAGAGTCGCGGAAAATTGCCGGTCGATTTGTTCGAATCGAGGTTTCCGGTTTAACGAGCCGGCAAAGCCAGAATTCTCGAAAATTGGAATGAAAGCTCTATTAAGGAAGACAACCGCTGCGTGCATCACATCTTCGTGTCTGGAAACGATCGCAAGAACGTCGAAATCCTCCTTAATAATGCGCGTACTGATTAGTGCACGCTTCCTTCCTAATAGGCCCTTAACGGAGCGACTAACGTAATGATCGCGCGAGTTCTATTCTAAAAACACGACGGTTCGATTGATCGGGACCGGGTCGAGAACGACCGAGCGTCATATTTCCTCGAAAGACGAACTAGTGGAAAAGATAGAGAAAAAGCGAGGAGACAATAAGAAATGAACGATTTTTGTTGTGACAACTCAACTACTGCGAACGGTTTTACAAAAGATAGCAATAAAATAATTTATGTTAGAAAAGTTCGTGACTTAGACTGAAATGTTAGATGAAGTTAAATAACATGACAAGGAGGATAAGAAACAACAGTGCGATATGTAGAACACTATATAGTGCACAAGCATCAATAATACTATAGAGAAGTTTCTGTAAAAAAAAAAATAAGAACGCGATACGAAAGAAAGATAACGCGATGCTATAGTAAGTCGCACACAGAATATAGAGACCTACATACTGTATCTCTACAATCTAGGCAACTATAGCACTGCACAGATATCTAGAAGCGAGACTATAGAAGAAACAGACCGATATCGCAGAGCAAGTAGATGAAAACAATTGTAATTAATTAACAATAGGTTCAGCGTACCTACGACCGACAGCTGTGTTAGAGTTCTATCGTCGAAGACATAAACTGAACGCGCCGTCAGCTATAACACTAACTGGTGTAGCCTAACCGTAGATTACACGAAACGGTACGTCGCAATAAAGAGATTAGCGTAATATGTCACCACCGTGTACCGATGTCGAATTACGATCGAGCCAATTAGAATCCTCGCTGGAAATAAATTGACATAATATATCAAGGTTCAACGAAGGATGCAACGTTTCGTTGCACGTAACGAACGCGAGCGCGACAAGGACACGTCGTCTCACCTCTGTCTGCCGAGAGCCGACCGGAAGCACCCTCTAAAATTCGCAGTTTCTGCTGCACGCGGCGAGCGCGACGACGTGGACGATGATCGTCAGCGACAAATTACCGCGAAGCAGGTGCGTGAGTGCGTGCGTGTGGAAACGAAAGAGGGATCCACGCGTGGGCTCACACACCGCGAGAGCACCACCGACTGCTCTCTCACCTCTCGTATGTGCTATCGGTCTCTCACACACTGCGAAGTCTCCTACTATGAGGGTAGTTTTGCTGCTGGCCGATCGATACGCGGCCACGGCTCGGAGTCGCCATTTCCCTCGCTCTGTCTGTCTGTCTTTCTTGCTCTCCCTTTCTCTATCTCTCAGTCCCTTTCTGTCTCTTTCGCAACTCCCTCTCCCTAACGATCTCTCCTCTTTCTCTCTCGATGGTTTCCTCCAACCTACCTCCCTCGACCTCACTGTGATACTCTTCCCCTCCTTTTCTTACGCCATAATCGCTTCTTCGTTTCTCTTTCGTCGTCAGGGGCGGATTCAGAGAACTACGTGGATTGCTCGGGGGCGGAATTAATTTTTCAAGTATTTTTTTCTCTCTCCGCAAGTATTTTTTTCTAGAAACTCGAAAATTTTCCCTCCACGCGATGACAAAGTAAAACAACTTTAATAATAATGATAATTAATTAACTTTCTAGTCGAGCGATGTGCACACAATCCTTTGTGTCTCCGCTTCAAGATCAACCGCTGTGTGCCCTTCCCCTCTCTTTCTCTTTTCACTTTTCCCGCAACCCTTGTCTTTATTCGCGCCTGTGCTTCCTTCGGGTATACCGGGTGTTCGCCTGAAAGAGCGAACAGTTTATCGCGATACAATTTACTATTTCTCTCAGAAGCACGCGCGCGCGTAGAGAGAGAGAGAAGAGATGTGGGTTGAACAATGTTTGTCATTCTCTGGAACAAGACAATATAAATCCCCATTGTCATGAAAGCAATTTAATTTACAATTGAACCGCGTCAGGTTAACTATATTCGCGATTATATGAAATGAGGTTTTTGTTAAATTAGCAATTATAAAATTGTACGTAAAAAACTTATTTTATTATTATCAACGGCTAAAAAACAAATCTGTAAGAAATTTAAAAAAAACAAAACACTTTTTTCCAATTAAAAAGACTAAAAAAACTCAGAACTAACGTGCAACTTGTGTGTACGGAAAATTTATCCATTCGCGACTAAATATCACAATTTTAATCTTTGTAAGCTTGACCTACTTATTTCACTGCATACATAAAGAGAAAAAACTACTTTGTGTTAATGGAAATAATTCCGTCAATTATGCGAAGCGTTTCAACGCAATAATACCTTACATAGTTTGTCTCTCTCTGAAAGAATAAACAAAACATCTTCTGTCTTTGCCACCATAATTATACAGCTACATTCTGTAATTGTGTTTTTGATATAAATATATGTTTTAATATTTCACGAGACATTCTTATCAGAGAACTTGTCCGTCCTTCGCTCTCTCTGTCTATAAATAAAACGTCCCTGATATTTTTCACTAATATAATATCTATTCGAGTCGTTGACCGTCGCTGGGAACATATTGTTCTTCCGGTCTAAGAAAGAGACGCTCGTTGCGGAGCGCTCTCCCACAATCGGATCGAAAATTACAAAAATAAACAGATCTCTCGAGAAAACGAGAGAGGTATGCTAAAAAGCGAACGAGCGGCGCGCTCAAATCGATTTTACGACTTATTAATACCGTCTTGTTTTAAAAGGATCTTTCTCTCGCGTTTGTGTGTGTTTCTCTACGTGTGCGTGTTACAAGTGGTGGCACTCACAACGACGTATATCGATTGCGAATATAATTACCAGTAGTAGTTTTCGTCGCGATCGTTGTTCAGCTCTCACAGTGCGATTTGTCGCGAGTTCTCGAATTGATGAGCCTTTCTCCCCTCTTGTTTCTTCCTCTCTCTTTATTTCTGCGCTAGTTATTGAGTTCTTCAGCTCGTCGAGAGTCTAGTCGTTTCTTTATGTGTTGCTATGTATTATGTGTCGGATACTACAACTATTTTTTGTAGGTCTTTTTTACATTTAAGACACAGAAATCGTCGCCGCGAACTGCAGTTATCGCGTTTAATTTCTCAAGAGACACTTAATTAGCATTTGGTAGGAGGATGAATAAATAAGAATCGTTGAATGGTTGAAATCATATATACGCTGCTCTCGACGGTTAACAACAAAGACAGCGATGAAAGAAATGTCGATTTTATTCGTACGCGACAAGTATGCTAACAAACACGAATGTACAATCAGCAAAAGATCGTCTCTGTATTTTACTTTTTGTCAAAAACTTGATTTACATTATTGTGTCATTGCTTAATTTTAACGCGGAAATGTAATTGCGGGGTAAGCAAATGTGACTCTTGCTTTCAACCGTTTCGCGAAGCTCGTCAACTCGAGGAAGAGGGACAGTCGGAGGTGGCAGTTTGCCACTAGTTTCCGTGTCTCGTGATAAATCAGAGGAATGGATTTTTCTATCTGTGCCGGAAAGCGCTGATTTGTCCGGGGCGTGAAACTTTATCGTGAATTCGCAAAACTTGGTAGCGGTTGCTAAGAAACTTGTGTCCGTTCTCCGTCCTCCAAAAAAGCAGCACGTAGTACGACTGGGTCATAGTGCCGCTATTCTTCTCTCTTCTTCCTACGCTGAACACCGTGTACAAAGCCACCCCCGCGTCGTTCTTCATAAAATATCTCTAAAAATACGCACCGCACCGGCAGGAGAAGTAGGACCGTCGATCCTAGTCGTGTTACACGACACTTCATTACTATGTTTGCTTTCTCATTTCAGCAACCGAGCATTGCAATAATAATAATAATAATAATAGAGATCCTCGAGCATTTTATGTGAGTTCGAAAAACTAATCTCGAGAAAATTATCTATTACAGGTTTCTAAATGAAAAGATTGATGACTTCAAAGATTTTTTTATGGTTTCTGTCGGGTTTTTATAGCACGATAGTTGTATATCTTAATTTACATCTTAATCCGCTAAACTGCCCGCTTAGTGGCAGTTGTTTACACGATTAGACGGATATAAAACTTGTCTCTCTCGTATAACAAAAAAAGTAATATAATTTTTATATTATTGTATCTATATAAAAATTTTGCTGATGTCATTTTTTTAATCCATGTATTTACAGCAATGTATGTCCATATGTTATCGTCATAAGCATATTTATCAAGAATTCGATCTTATCAATCGCAAAATGTTTCGCGCGTACACGCACATTTCTCTCAAGCACTGCGCGAAAGAACTCATTACGAGCAATTTGCATGATAATTCTGCGGATATTCGTGTCATCCACAGTAAACGACGAACTGTAGTAGTTATCAGATTGTTTGAGTCCCAAAGAGGAAATCGACAACAGATGCGCTAATCTCGCCGATGATAAGACACGTTTCTGAAGAATCGATTTCCGTTGAGAGAACGCATAGAAGAAAAGATATTGCAATTATATATATGATAGTTTGCATATGTATGTACACATGTAATTCTTCGCGCAAGCGCGCGCACACACAAAGAGAAAAAGCAGAAAGTACATATGCGATGTGTTCGTAATGCCAGTACTGGCTCAAAGTGAATCTTATGTGATTCTTATGCGAGAATTGAAAACACGAAGCGGTTAAAGCAAAATTAATCTTAAAACTTGAGAAAATGCAAATAAGCATCACGAAGTCAACTCTAACGACTATTATACGTTCGTGACAGTTGTTATAATTTGATGATGCTCCAAGTATGAATTATGTGTAGTCGCAATATTGAAGAAAAAAAGACGATTAATGGCAATCTATATTGATTTCACATCAAGATTAATTACTACGATAGCGCAGAAAGAATCATTGTTATTTGTCGCGCTGATGTTTCCAGCCACTTTTGCAATTAGCGTTCGTTTTCTTCTGCTGACGGTAAACGAATTGCGACAAGTAAACAGATTTAAACTTAAGAAAGTGTGTCTATATATATATTTTATGTGCGTGTGTGTGTGTACACATTTTGTGTGTGTATGTAAATTGGCACAAAACGCGCGGAAAAATCGGATTGAATTAAATTATGGTTATATTAAATTCATGGGTTATATTAAATTTGATCGTCCGTGACATCATGTGTACATTTGAAATGGTAATTAATATACATAATAAAATTTCATTGCATCAACTTATGTACATATTAGATATAAACATTGTATCAAATCACAATTTGTTTTAAGTAATGAATGATATTACTTTATATGGCTACTCGTTATTGTATAATAAACTCCGTGTGTATAATATTTGGAAAAAACATTTACGTTTAAACCACACGATTCGAGAAACGTATTTTTTTAATTTAAAGACGACAACAAAATTTGTAAACAAAAATCTGTTTAAAACATTTGCAATCGGATAAACGTAATTTAAAGACGAAAAAATGCGCGAATAAATGCGACACGATGAATGTAATACACACGGGTAAAAGTCGGAGGTCAAAGCGGACGTGCCGAGATGCGCGCAATAAAAACAAGCGTGCGGGGGATCGCGATGGTGCGAGAACGTTTTTCTGTTGCTCTCGGTGGCATCAATATCCTCGCTGAGCAATTTCCAGAGATTATTGCATTATTTGTCACTAAACTCCTTTGGACAAGTCAATTCGAGCCATTATCAAAAAATATTTTCGAATCAATTTGCAAACCTAAGAAGTTAAACTTCTTACATAACAAACAAGATTAATTATCTCCAATAAAAATAATAATATCGCAAATAAAAGTACTGATATAGACGCGCTATCGAGAAACATATGTATTTTAAATATTTCTATCAGTTTTAATTTTAAACCTTATTCTTCTTCTTCCTAAATTATGGAGCAAATCAGCAAATGCAAGATAAGAACATTAGAACGCTAATTAGAACGACGGCAATTATTAACGACAGCAATATTAAAATTACTTGTGAGATTAATTAAGTGAAATCCAATTTCATTGATATCGGCTACTGCCAATCATAACTAATTTGTGTATCATTCATTGATTAGATTTCCTATTATCGTCTGCAGCATAAGCGGAATTATAGACTAGAATGAAAAACAAGTTATTTATTTTTCAGCGTCAATGAAGATTCACATAGTGTAGAGAAGATTTTAACTATCCACAAACAAATCAAACTATTTTTATTTAACTGCTTTCAACTATTGCTATGTAAATTTCAGGATTTAATAATGGATAACTTCTAATTTTATAAGCACACCATAAATTCTCTTTTCCTTCCTTCCTTTCTTTCTTTCTCATTTCTTTCCTTTTTTCTTTTTCTTTCCTTCCAGATAAAAAAAGCAATCCGAAGAAGCCTCACTATTCTGCACGAGATTCTCAAAAAATATATATATGATCGTGTATGACCTTAGAAACATCGAGAGCAATGTAATCATCAATAGTATATTTCCGAAAAGAGAACACTGAGTACGCTACTCCGATCACGTGATGCAAAACACACACACACACACACACACACACACACACACACAGAGAGAGAGAGAGAGTTCATTCAACATCATTCAAAAATCGCCGGGTTCTCTCGCGGTGAATTGCAACGGACGCGACGAATATCTCTCAAGGTAGCGATAATAATCAAAACAATTGAGCGTTATCGTCGATCGTGCGTGACGAAATTGCAACGACAAGTGCGCTTTTATAATCTCACACGAATGATGCGAGATTGCGCGAGCTAAGTCGCGAATCGATCGAACGCGCCGCGTATGTAGTATGTTACGTGCATAATCGCAAAAACCTGATATTAATGCATCATCTTTATTTTCTAAGATCGCTCATTACTTGCCACTCATTAAATGCTTTATTTTGTTTGATTGCGTTATATGTACATTTTATTTAACGTACTATTATTCATCATAATTGTTCGAAGTCAGGCTGCCATAAAATAGTTTTACATGTGCGATACATCTATTTGAAAACTCAAATGATTTTCGATCTAGTCAAAACGGAACCGCTGCCGGTTACAGTAACGATAAAAGAAGCGGAGCATTCTTTCGAGAATCTCATTGCGAAATATTTGATCAACGAAGAATTTTTGTAGGAGAAATGTAGAAAAAATATAACATAAAAAAATGTATTGCTCACCGTGATCGCCTTGTTGATTGTTGTAATCAGTACGTATCGTACACAATCCAGAACAAGCTGTCACTCGGTTAACCTTCTGTCAAGATTTGACACATCGCACGACAGCTGTTCACAGTTTTGTGCACGGCCGACAGCTGGCACAAACATCGGGTACCAAAAGTCTACACATATAAAGACAGGAAAGTCGATTACATTTTAAAAACTGCGATATATCGATTTGCGATATATCGATAATTAATATTTATCGATTTATGAAATATCCTCTGCTTTATCCATATATGTAATACTAATATATCGCTAGTAGAGTACCAACCTTAAGTCCAAACGTTACAGATGCAAACAATATAGTAGCCTCTCTCTCGCGCAAGGTCCAGCTGCTTTGCGCTTTGTGAGTATGCGGTGAATATTCAAGCACGCTTGGACATTTCTCTTTCTCGCGTTCTTTCTGTTTCACTTTCCAATGCTTTGTCTCGCTCGCACTTGCTTAGTAGACGCGCCTGCGCATAATGACGCCGACTATCCATGCCCATATTTGGACTTCGTGCGTCTCTTTTTGCGTTCCGGGAGCACGCTATCAGCGCTATTGCGTCATTCTATCTTTGTTTTACATCTAATGAGCAATAAAGATAGAATGATGCAACAGCGCTGATAGCGCGCTCCCCGAACGCAAAAAGAGACGCACGAAGTCCAAATATGGGCATGGATAGTCGAGCGTCATTATGCGCAGGCGCGTCTACTAAGCGAGTGCGAGCGAGACAAAGCATTGGAAAGTGAGAGAACGCGAAGAAAGACCATAGACTTATATAATAGACGGAACATTTATATGACGAAGTTGAAGACAACATTAAAGGACAGAGATAGTGCTGGAGTAGTTGTCTCTCTCTCTTACTAATAAGAGCGGTAGGGGACCAATCACCTTAAGCGCATAAACATATAAGTCTATGCTTATACGTAAAAGTAGACCCTTGCGCCGCTGTGTTACGCCGCCGCCGCCGACAAATTATCATCCGCCGATTCCGCCGCCGCCGCCGAAAATTAATATGGCGCGCCGAAAAAAAGTAAAATGCTATATGTGTTTTATATATATTGGTTGAAGTGTATTAAAGACCGAAGCACAGACTTTTGCATAACGCATAACGCATAAGACATAAGAAAATCAACCAATCCAGCCTTCCATTTTCATCCCTACTTTTCGTTCTAGAAGGCTTTGATTGGTTGATTTTCTTATGTCTTATGTTTCTCTTCGCCGAAAGGGTCTTCTACAATAAAATATTAGGTCTGTTCTTTTTACCTGAACTGGCTGCACTAGTTCAGAGTTTATCTTTTTCACTCGACATTGGAAAAAGAAAGATAAACTCTGAACTAGTGTAGCCAGTTCAGGTAAAAAGAACAGACACATTAGTAATAAATCAGAAGTCAGAAGTAAGAAATTGACTAAACACAATCGATTATTTTTCTGTGATTTGACTGTGATTGGTCGATTTCTTGCTTCTGACTTCTGATTTATTACTAATATTGTAGAAGCAGAGAGAAACCTGAGAGCGGCCATCCTATTGTAATTTTTTACGACGGTTTCAGCCGCTGGTTTTAGCCGTATTTCCACAAAAGTGGAACTCAAAGGCCGTTCTACATTAAACGCAAGTCGCAGATCTCGNCAGCCGCTGGTTTTAGCCGTATTTCCACAAAAGTGGAACTCAAAGGCCGTTCTACATTAAACGCAAGTCGCAGATCTCGTGGAATTGACCAATTGCAGAGTCAAATCAGCCAATCGACCAACGTGATTGATCAGTTCCACGAGATCTGCGACTATATGTATATATGTATATATGTATATATGTATATATACATATGTATATATATGTATACATATATACATATATGTATACAGGGTGTCGGATAATGACCGTATAACCGCTCGTGTGTAGATAGAAGAGATTATTCTGAGTCGAAAAGTATTTTACCATTTTGCGAGATTCGCAATATTTAAAGAGATTTTAATACATAAAGATCCACGAATGAGCGTGCAGCCACATGCAAAATGACAGCTCGGGGCTGTCATTTTTTCGCGCGCTTGTACGCCGTAGCAACGAAATGACAGAAACTAATAAGCAGCATATAATATACATAAAACATCAATAACTGCCGACGACTAACTAATGTGACGCGAAAATATAAACTTTGTACTTTTTTAATTGAAATGAATAAGTCTAATGTCAAGATAAGTTAAAACTGAGTTCTTTTACTTTTGTAATTAGGTATTTACTTATTACTGTATTAATAATTATTTATTTACTTATTTTTTTATATTTCAAGGTTTACATACAAGAAAACTTTTATTATTAGAAAAAATTAAATTTTTTTTATTCTTTATAGGATTTTTTAAATACATAGATAAAGATTAAATACATAGATAAGTAAATAACTGAATAATCGTTATCGAGAGAGAGAGAGAGAGAGAGAGAGAGAGAGAGAGAGACATTTTTCTTTGATCATATAGCCCATTTTTCTTTACTTACATAATTGTATGGGCCATTGTATTGTATTGCCAGATAAAACAAACTTTGCGTTATATTTAATGTCTTTCTGTTAACAAAATATGTAACAAGCATTTGGCAAAATCTGTTTCGACAGATTTGGTTATCTGGGAATGTTTTATTATTATGTGCACAATATAAAATGTTAGTAATAATTTACTACAAAGCGGGAAAAATCAATTTTTTTATACCAAAAAAATTGAATACCTTTATTATAATAAATTTAACATAAAAATTTAGAATTCTCGTCAACTTAAGAACTCAAATAGGAAAACATAATTAAAAACAAAAAATATTTTTTTCAACTCTATGATATTTTTGTATTGACTGTTACAATTGCTCCATGTTACAATTGACTTTCCTCACCTCCACTTATGTTATCTCATATGAAAGAATACATTAAATTTCTCCATTTATTGCAGTAATCACCTTAGGATTTCTCAAAATTGTCACGTGATTCCCTTCAACGTACTGTATCGTCACATTAGATGTTATCTACAAAACATTATGTGCATCATTGTATGTATCACAACTACAAATTCTGATAATACTGACAAGTCTGATGCAATATAGATCAGAAATTATAATAACTTTCGTGACATACTTTGTGTAAACCGTAATCCTCGTCGGCCTCAAGCACGGAAGGATTTGTAGGTTTCAGCAAAGTTACAGGCAATTTAATACGTGGTATAGCAGAAGTATCATATTTCTGAAGAATAAGTGTATGTTTATACACTGTTGTATACAGTGTCCTCAAATTTGCAAGCGAGAGCATTGAGGTATGAGCCAAAAAGTATTTTGCAAAAATGTCAAATCTCTCTTCGTTATTTTTACACTTTTGCAATTCCATCAAGAATTCCTGCGCAACAGTATAAAAAATCAAATTATTATATTCAATATGTAAAGTCAGAGTTGGGTAGTATCTAGTTAAAAAGATAAAAGTAAAGTTAAAAAATTAAAAAGTTAAATAATTTTAACTTAACTTATATACAGTTACATTTTTAGACTTTTAAATTTTAACTTAATTTTGTTATATTTTATCGGTAACTGTTAACTTTTTATTTTAACTCTTTTCAAGATAGTCATGCCATAAGATTTTGATTTTCGTACAAAATTGTTTGCATACAAAACAAACTTTATTATGACCATAGTTGGATTGCATTCGGAAACATCACTTGTGTATATTTTATCTTTATTGCTCATTGGATATAAAACAAAGATAGAATGACGCTCGTGTGTACACGAGTGGTGTTTCCAAATGTGACGTTGGTCGTATACTTATAGACTGAAAAATTCAACCAATCACAAAGCTCAGAATGGCTCGTTTTGTATGTGAATAAATTTGTACGTATTCGGGAATTGAGCCAATAAATGCTGGTCGTGAAATTCAATGCAATTCACTATGGCTGCAAGCACGTAAAATACTCAATTAACCCTCAACGGACAGCGTGTTTTTTGGCACCTTAATTCGCCGGACATGGATTGTTTTCGTCTTGGGCTTTTTAAAAATATTAAATATTTCTAAAAAAGTCAAACAATGTGTATATAACAATTAATGATAAATTGAGATTACTCTCAGGTATTAAACAGATCTGATCATATTGATAGATATACGAAATATTGCGAGACAAACTCCAAGTGTCTCGGTGGCCTAACAGGGAAAGCGACGGCCCGGAAAGCCGGAGATTCCAGGTTCAACTCCTGGCTGAGGAGTTTTTTTTTCGCAATATTTTAAAATTAGTTTGGGGAGTATATGGGGTCCTTCATACATGAGATGCAAGTATAGCATCCTGTATGATTTTATGAGTTGAAATTTCAATTCAAAAAAAAAAAATGAACAAAAATATAAACAAATTCACGTGAAAACGTGAATTTGTTTATATGTGCATACACGCACATATATATAGCACATTCACGCACAACATCCTGTGAAGGGCTCTTAACGTCCTTATATTCAGATATTATTAATGTGTATATACTCTTTAAACTGTCTATTTTAAGACACCATCATTAAATTTAGTGAAAAAAAGTTTTAATTCATAATTTTTAGCAAATATGACAACAAGAAAATTACTTTTTTCAGAAAGTAATTTTGCTCCAGACGAAAACGACTCATGTCCGTCCGTTGAGGGTTAAAAAAAAAAAAAAACGCAATTCACTCGCGCGCGCGTGGTGTGTGATCGTCAGTGTTTACAGTTGTGAGACGTTTATAAGATGCGTTCCGTTTCATGCGCACATTTATCCATAGTACATGTTACGTATACTATAGATCACGCGCGTATATGCATGAAGCGGAACGTGTTTATTGCATGCTGCAGCGAAGAAGGGATGCGCACAACAACAGCGGGAACTTGCTCGAGCAAGTTTTTGCTGTTATTGTGCACATTCTCTCCACCCGCTGCAACATGCTAGAAACGTTTTACTTTTAACTTGTAAACACTAGTGATTGCAAGTCTGTGACGTTGTGTGCAAAAACGCACAATGAGTAACACTGTTGACAAATTTACGTCAAATGACTTCAATTTTAAAAAATTTAACATTTAACTTCTTAATTATTTTTTTTAGTAACTTAACTTTTGATCAATTAATTTTATTGGTTAACTTGTATCTTAACTAAATTAAATTTTTAAAGTCTTTAACTTTAACTTAACTTAGTTAAAAAAATATTTAACTTACCCAACTCTGTGTAAAGTACATTATATCAATGTATTATATAAAAACATACCTGTTTACTTATTTTGATTTTATAACTTTTCAGAATACTAATAAAAATAGAAACTTGCATTTCTGCATCATTACTTCCTGCAGATTCTACAAATAATTTTATATGATGCTTGTTTAGTAACACTAAGTGATCAGGTGCACCATCGATAAGAACTATTCGACCTTTAAAGCCTACGGTTTCCAATCGTGTTGCAAGTTCTATTGCGAGAATAGCTCCGAAGGAATATCCAACCATGACAAAATCTTTTTTGTCTTGTAATTTTTTTAATATAACCTGCCATACATTCAAAAAGTATTTCTCAAAATTTATAGATTCTTACAAAATATATGTATAAACATTACTACACTACAAAAAATATTTACGGTCTACCTGTTCGAGAATCTCAACCATCTTTGACAAAGTATTACAAGTGGAAATAACATTTGTATTATAATGCAAAGATGTTGCAGAAAATTTAATATACATCTCTAAATGATTAAATATAGTTCCACAACCATCAATTCCTGGTATAAGAAAGACTTGAGTAGCACTTTCTTTGTTTTTAGGCGACAAGTCTACAAAGATTTCAGAGATGAAATCTTCGTTTTGTACAATACCAAATATGTTCTCGGTTCTCTCATCAGATGTAGCTTTTTCAGATGTTTCTTTAACAATAGTCTTTGTGTCAGACATATCAAAGAGTTTTGCAAAGGTAAGACTTCGTATTTCTTGTAAGGAGAGGTACACGTTGAAGTCACGTTCCATAGTTTGTTTAATCTCCACTGCCATCATAGAGTCCATCCCAAGCTCGGCCAGAGATGTAGTCTGACTTAATTTTTTAACGTCTTTTATATCTTATCGCATAAAATAAAAAAACGTCAAAAGTTAGAAAGAATATGTTAATTAATATTAACACAATAAGAAAAATATAAATTTTGTATGTAAATTCTTACTCATAATAGCAGCAACAATTTCGAAAATATTGGTGAATTCGGATGCTCTCTGTTTCTTTTCAGCCACTACCATGCTGCTTACGATCGGCCGATTCTGAAGTAAGAATTTGTCGAGTTCGTTAAGGCAAGATAATATTCCTTGTTGCAGCGTGCCACCAATAACGAGTTTTTTGTCATTCTCCTGCATGTCAGCAACAAGACCTACATCACCTATAGCTCCCCACTGTATCGCTAAACCAGGAAATCCATCCTTTACCCTTCTTTCGCATATCCTTTCCATCACGGAATTAGCCATGCCGTAATTAGTTTGGCCGGCGTTTCCTCTGCCACAGGAAACCGAAGAGAACACAACAAAATGTCGGAGTTTAGGGCAAATCTTTCTAGACAGTTCATCCAACATCAGTGTCGGCCAGGCTTTAGCTCTGAAAGATTCTACGAAACTCTCGATAGTTTGATTCTTTAAAATATTATCTTTCAAAACAACAGCAAGATTAAATATAGCATCTACAGGTGCGTCTTTTTCTGCACTTAGCAAAAGATGTTCACAATCTGTAGGATTGATAATATTATTATTTTTAACAATCGTTATATTTACGCCGTAAGATCTCCATAACGAGACCTTTAGGCGTTGATAACCAGTTTTTATTCCGCTTCTTGAAGTTAACACGACATTTCTCGCACCCCGAGATATCAGCCATTCGGTCAATTCCAATCCAAAGCCACCTAGACCGCCAAGTATGATGTAAGTTCTATCGCTAAGACAATAGTAACGACGATGTGCGATGATCGGCGCATTTACAAGACATTTGTCTGTCTCTTGAATATTCAAAATTATCTACAAATATTCATATTATGATGAAGAAAGATTTAGATTTATTCAACATTTTATGTTATATATTTACCTTTCCTATGTGCTTTCCACTTGTCATGTATCTAAAAGCTTTTTCGATTTCTGTTCGTTGGAAAACTTTAGCTTTTATAGGTTTGATAACACCATTCTTAAGACCATCAGCCATTAATTTCAGTAACTCGGTCTTGTGTTTGTGTTTTTCTCTTTTTAAAATCAAATCCAATAAAACACCGTAAAAAGAAATTCCTTTTCCAAATAATGATAGGTCTAAAAGATTGTTTGACACGAAGTCGAACTTTCCGATTTCCAAGAAACGACCTTTACGCGCTAAACAACGAACAGATGCTATAAGTTTTTCTTCCGCCAATGAATTCAGCACTATGTCAACACCGCGACCGTTTGTCTGGCGCATAATCATCTCTTTGAAACTAGTGTCGCGCGAAGTCCCAATGTGATCGTCGGGAATAGCCGGAAACATTTCTCGGATAAACTGTCTTTTTTCAGCAGTGCCTACTGTAGTAAATACTTCACATTTTTCATGTAAGGCAAGATGAATTGCTGACTGTCCAACGCCACCGGAACCAGAGTGAATAAGTACTTTATCACCCTTTCTCATTTTTCCTTTAATATATAAAGCATAATACGACGTGCTGTATACACAAGGAACCGTAGCCGCCTCTTCGAACGTCCAAGTATCTGGTATGACCCATTGTAAATCACTTTTCAAAACGACATTTGCGATGCACCTTAAAGTACACATATGTATGAATGCTCATTGTATAATAGATCATATATTTTTCTTCATGAGCATAGATATATATAACTTATTAAATTATATATTGTTGCGTACTTATTGTCGCGTACTCCCATTACTCGTTGTCCTTTGGCATCAAATCCTACGTATTCCAATCCAAGAGACATACTTTCGAATCGCTTTTCGATGTCTAAAGTAGTTAATTTTCCTGTTGCCAACATTACATCTCTAAAATTGATGGACGAATAAACTACACGTACTAAATCATCACAATGGGAATCGATGGATATATCATTCTCTATCCAACAAAAAGTACTTAGGTTACCACGATCCTGTATAAAAAATATGATAATGTTAAATTGTTAGAAGTAACATAAAAATATCGCGACATTATAATTAAATTCAAAATTTGCGAATGTTTTGCATACCGTTTGACACACGTAAGCAGCGGGAACAAATGCAGGTTCCGGAGCTGGCAAACAGAAATGTCGATAAGAACCCCAGGTTTTATTAGGTCGCAAAATATTGACTGTCATATCTTTCTGCAATTGTTGCGCATAGAGGGGATCTTGCAAAGAAAATTTTGGAGCAGTCTCGTCTTGAATAAACACACCTCTAACGAGCTCGCCACCAGGCTCTTTTCTCAAGCAATTAACAAAGCCCAATAAACCGCAGTCGAAATCGCCTTCGCTAACAACTACAATTCTTTTGTTCTGATCGAATGTTTCCTTCTCGTCTATAAATAGCTTCAATTTTTCCACCCATTCAAAGTTATTATTGTTAATATGAACAACAGTTGTTTCTTTGATTGTGATTCGTTTTTTTAGAAGCACAATTATTTCTTTTTCAGTACGTTTTTCAAGAATAACATTTAATCCATATTGTTCTAGATTATCGTTGTCAATTAATGCAGAAAAGACACGATACGATTCTGTTACTTCTGTTACGTCATGTTTCTCACGCGATAATAAATAACCACCTTCTTCAAGAAAGAGTAAAAGTTTTTCTAGTGATCGTCGCTTCGACAAAAGATTAAATCCGATAACCATTAAGACTTTGGTGTCTACATGTTTCTTTAAATCCGCAATTGTTACGTTCGGTGGCAAGTCTGATGCGTTAAAACGAGTCAGCGATGTCATTAGAGTAACACTTGCCTGTACTAACGGCAAATTATTGCAAGCTTCAATTATCGCCGAAATTGCTAGTTCTTCTGTGCTCACGATATCTGCATCTTCTACCAGTTCGATGGCTTTTACTTTTGTAATTTGATGATCTTCCAGTGCAATTTGCGTTGATATACGTATTGCTTCATGCAAAGAAATCTTTTCACGATCTTGATGCGCCACGAATCTGTGTTCCTCAATAACGGGATCTGCGTTTATTTTTCGGCGGCTGATCGAAGTAGCTTTCATATCCCAAATCTGTATGCCACCAGATACTATGAGATTCATGTTTTTATATATTCGTACTGGCAATTCTAAAAGAAAAATTGTACTTTGAGAAAAATGTTGATAATCTTACACAATTTTCACATNTGTATAATATTTATATATTTATGGATTTAATAATAATAATAATAATGTTATTATTATTGATAATAACCCGAAAGTATTTGTCAATTCTTCTATCGAGCGTAGTTTTCTGCGAGTAGAGAATACTCACACTTTTTTGGTAAGAGGGTGGAGAGAAAATTAAATACTTTATGTGGAACAAACAATGTCCAATACAACTCCAATAGGCAAATTGTGAAAATATTGCACAAAAATAGCGTCATGAATGACGACGATTTTGCAATGATTGTACTAAGATCATTTGCTATAACGCAGCAGGTTTGTCAAAATAAGATTTTATAAATAATATTTGTCAAAAATTGAAAAAGAGTCATTATGCATTTCCATATACATGAATTACGTTGATTTCTTCATATGCAATTTCTACATATTTTGAACAGCATATAGCTAAAAGTTTTTTCTTATTTATTGGACAATTTCTTTTTAAAAGTAATTTTGCAAATATACTGCTAAGATGATTCGCCATATTGTTATTTTTTTGCCGAAAGTGTTTTTTGAAATTAATTTTGCACATAGTTACAAATATTTTATAAAAGATCAATGTTTTTATATCTATTTCTTAAAATATATCTATATAATTGCAAAATCAATTTTAATGCAAGATTCTGTTACATAATTTTATAAATGATTTCCTGTCAGGAAAGCAGACGAAGAATAAAGTTGTAGGCGGTCCTTGCAAAACCGCACAGAAAGTTTTGACACCGTGATAACTGTCAAATATGCTACTTGTGTCAGTAGATGATGGCAAACCTAATACATTTTACTTGAAGAGTTATTTTATTAAATTATTTTACAAACCACACAACAAATAAGATAAGGATAGTGTTTTCGAGCAAAGATTGTACTACTACGGTAGCATTGGAGGGAATGCGCACCGAGCTACGTACGAGTTGCACCGGTTCATTTTTTTTTTCCACACTAATTACTTTGACAACGACAATAGTGATCTCTTGTAATTGTAAATGACACTGGGAATAAAGTGTTTCTTCGGGCATATTTATAGTAATCAAGAGACGCTATTATATCAGAGATGCCAGATTCTGTGCTTTGGTAGCATGCCGTAGCATTGGAGGGAATGCGCACACAGCGTACCGTATACGGTATACATCCCCGATTCCCTGTATGGCCTGTGTCATGTGACCAGTGCCTCACTGTCCGGCAGGTGACCAGTGCGTTGGTGAGACGATTTTGTCCGATTTGTCGGGCCATCACCCGACGACTCATCCGGACCATGGAAGCGCACCCCGGGCACTTGCGGGATGAATCAGATCGGAGCTCCTTCTGGCTTACCACGTATGCATACGATGGTGTACAGAGATGGCGGTGATAACCGTTGTTCATTTTGTAGTGTGTGCAATGTGATCACCTTGACCTGCGGGCAGTGCTTTGCCTGCACGTTCGCAGTGCGAAGTATGAATCGATCGGTTTGATGCCCCACGTGCTGGGCAGTCTGCATGGCATTTATGTATGTTTATGCTGATTGTCCTCACTGTCGTGCGGGTGATATTCGCAGATCCCCAAGTTTAATTCTTTCCGGTAGCTTCGCTACCGGACCGTCCATATATAGACGCTACCTGTGATCGGAACTTTATATAAGTTATATGTGAGATATAGGCACATTTGAGGACTTTCTAAGGGAAATAAAGCTCTCCAAATCCCGGCAGCGTAAAGGTTAAATACAACTGTGATTAAACACTGAGTGATCACACACACACACACTAAACGAGACTATTACCTGTCTTTTCTCTGTCTCGTTATACTACGTGGCGTGACTTTGCATAAATCAACATCAGAACATCAAGATGTGAGTAACTTGTGAAGAAAAACCTAGACATTCGCATCTTGCACCAAGTCTATATGGATGACCTCAAACTCTATGCATCAAATACAGATCAACTGCAAAGCAAATTCGCACGAAACTTAAGAGTTTCGGCAATGATATCTGCATAGAGTTTATATTAGACAAATGCGTCATCTTACATGCTAAACGTGATGGAGTCCAAGATTAAAAACAAATTCTGCATCTCTTTCAGAGCACAATTATTTAAAACCTATGTATAAGTTGCAGGAAGTGGAAATAATTCCGATGATGGTGTCAGTTGGAAGAATAGGTTAGTCACAAAAGATTGGCAAGATGCTAAGAAGACAGTGCAGCTGCATGAAAAACATCTGGGGGTCATGCAGAAAGCTGTTTTGGTGGGTACTGCGAACATTGTCCGCAAATTTTTAAGCCTTCATTAATCAATACCAGTGATCGAGATTTGCAAACGGACACTACAAATGAATTAACATCAAAGATAACTAATCTTCTAATGGAAGATAGTAGCGCGATGTTTCTACGCAATGTTTTATCTTCTATAAAAAATGTGCAATATCATCATATGAAAATTCATCAACATGTGCATTATCACCCATTTGCTGGAGAGATTTTCCTTCATTATGCTACTTTTGGTCATTATGCTTAACACTTCATATGCGAGTAATCTTAAGTAAAAACAATTCTGACAACTGTGTAAATATAAAAAAACAATAGAAACAACAACAACAACAACAACAACAATAATAAATAATAATAATAATAATAATAATAATAATAATGCAAAAACTAACTATTTCTTTTACTTTCTTAAATAAAAAAGGAAGAGAGAGAAAGACTTACTATTAGTATTCTGCGTCTTGTTTATTTGTGCATAGTTTTGTAGTTTTGCGCTATGAGCGATCGGATCAATTACTATTTTTCGAATGCTCGTAGGAACGTATAGACTGTTGGTGTCTTTTCCGATTATATTCAGTTGCAGCAATGCGTCCATAAACGTAATCCAATTACTTGCCCAAGCAACGTGTCCTTTGTTACCCGTTATTGATGCGCTAAGTAACCCACGAAAAGTACCACTGTATTGATATCCGCGTAATTTCAATTCTTTGTAAATATCTTGAGTGTTCATGTGTTCTTCTTCTTCTTCATTATCTGGTAATAAATCGATTGATGCGGTTTCCTGCTCAAGATCTATTTCAACGGACACCTCACCTGTCATAACGATAGTGTCTCTTTCACATATCTCGAACTTTCCGCTTCCTAAAATAGTTTGTAAAACTCTTTTATATAATAATATTCGGACCTTGAATAAGTTCTCGCTGTTTCCCAACAGATGACGTAATCAGAACTGCATGCGTGTAGTTTAAGATAGTAACGCATTTATAAGGAAGTACATACCATAGATAAGCTTGAAATTCAGTATATGTCATTTCGCCGAAGTGTAAACAACTTTTTTTTTCATAGTGTTAAACATGTCGAGTTTTGTGCCAAAAAAGAGTATTTGCGAGGGAATTTTATTGCACTATTTTATTCAAAAAAAAATCTGCAGCTGAAGCACACAGATTCTTGTTGAGACTTACTGCTGACGACCTGCTCTGTCGGAAACAACATGCAGAGATTGGTTTAGACGCTTCAAAAATAATGATTTTGATGTTGAAGATAAAGAACGCTCTGGCGCACCGAATAAGTTTGAAGACGAAGAAATGGAGGTATTACTTCATGAAGACTCATGTCAGACGCTAGCTGAACTTGCAGAATCATTAGGAGTAGATAACACAACAATTTCAAAACGTTTGTAAATATTAGGAATTATTCAAAAGCAAGGACATTGGGTGCCGTACGAGTTGAAGCCGAGAGACGTCGAACGACATCTTTTCACGTGTGAACAGCTGCTTCAACGGCAGAAAAGAAAAGGTTATTTGCATCGTATCGTGACGGCGATACGATGGCGATAAAAAGTGGATACACTACGATAAGCCTAAGCGTAGAAGATCGTAGGGTAAGCCCGGCTATGCATCAACATCGTCGGCAAAGCCGAATATCCATGGTTCGAAGCTTCTGCTCTGCATTTGGGATCAGCTGGGTGTAGTTTATTATGAGCTGCTCAAACCGAACGAAACCATCACGGGAGATTGCTATCGACTACAATTGATGCGTTTGAGCCGAGCATTGAAGGTAAAACGGCCGCTATACGAGCAGAGACACGACAAAGTGATTTTGCAACATGACAACGCTCGGCCACATGTTGCACAACCGGTGAAAACCTACTTGGAAACGCTTAAATGGGAACTCCTACCCTGCTATATTCACCAGACATTGTCCTTTCCAATTATCACTTGTTCCGATCGATGGCACATGGCCTGGCTGAGCAGCACTTCCATTCTTATAAAGATGCCAAAAAATGGGTCGATTCTTGGATAGTCTCAAAAGACGTGTCGTTTTTCCGACGTGGAATTCAAATGCTGCCAGAAAGATGGGAAAAAGTAGTGGCTAGCGATGGGCAATACTTTCAGTAACATGTTTTTCACGACTTTTTTAAAATAAAGCAGTAATTTTCACGAAAAAACAGCGAGAACTTATTCAAAGGCCCAATATATAATTATTTTTCTTGTAAATCTTATTATAAATCGATTATTATTGTTTAATCTTTTTTGTTTTTTATTTTAATTCAAAATCTTTATGAAAAAAAGATAGATACCTTCGTGAAATCTGATCGTCAACTCCACACTATCATTTGTTGATAAATGAGTAGCGCGAACGAATCTTAAATCTCTGAACACTACTGGTAATGCTAAATAGAATTCTCCTTTGATTTTTCCGATAGTTTTCCACACAAGTGCAACATAACCCATCGCTGGTAATAAGTTTCTCTCATTTATTACATGACCCGTCATATAGTCATAGTCATCATCATCAAAATGTATTTTGACGAGTATCTCCTTGGTGCTATCATATTCTGGTATCTCATATGGTACAATCCAGTTTTTGGAGTGATCCCATCTAGAATAACAATCTTATGTGTTTGAACATGAATAATATAATTGCTCTATAATAAAAGATACATTTCTTTTATAAATAACAGAATGCTAAAATTCTTAACAAAAATATGTTTCTGAAAACAAGTTCTTCACAAGAACAAATTTATTATCTAATTTTAACAAAGTCGCTCGCAGTAACAACAAACAAGATAGATATAAGGTCAAGATCGAGCAAATAAGATAATTGTCCCTATTTCTGCTCATGTCCCGATTTCTGCTCACTTTGCTTTTTGTGAATTATTATAAACATTGAAGTTATTCAATTAATTGAGAAAAAATATTTTTGAATTATTTAAACATCTATGTGCAAGTTTCGTGTAAAGAAGATTTAAACAAAAGCAGCATAAGCAACAGAAAACCTTTGAAAGTAATGAATTCGTCTTTACACGTAACTTTCTTTACATCTTACTAGTTGGCAACGATAAACAGCAATAGTTTTATATTAGTTTTGATTTGTTTTTCATTTGGTGCACGAAAAGTAATTTGATAAGTTGAAAGTTGTTTATATTTCATTATAAAAGTATAAAATTGTGTCCTGTGTTGTAAGTATTGAAGTTTTAAGTAGAAAACAAGTGAGCAGTTTTAGAGTCACGTAAATTATCGCCAGATTCGTATTTCTGCTCAAGCATTTTATTAACATAACCTTGACATTTACTATATGTATTTACTATATGTATCTATTTTTATTCGAAAAGTACTTTCAGTTTAGGTTTTTTATCTTTTGTAATGGCGAATAATAAACAATTAAAAAAGAAAAATACAGATAAAAAAAGATGGTAAATATTCAGAAAAACGAAGCACCCTTGGAAGTCAATGACCTTAACATATGTCAAGGACACCTTCTTGAACAACAATCTGCAACTTTTAGCTGTCGCTCGTTGTTCGTTAAAAAATTATAAACAAAAGAAATATCATAAATAAATTCTTATTTTCCGACACCGTGTACATTTTGTTTGTGTTGTAAGCGTGTAGGCAGGGGGGCTTCGCCTCTCCCCTCACAAGAAATGAAGAATTCAATTAAGTGTCAAGTAATTAAAACGCACAAACAACAAAAATATAAGTTAACTGATGTGACATATTATCAATGCTATGTAAGTTATCTGTTTTTGACGGTTTTGTTGTTTGTGCGTTTTAATTAGCCTGTGTTATTCCAAGCAGTTTTTACATCTTTTTACCTCTCATTGACAACTTTATGGCTGTAATGTATGACATTCGTTTTTTCTTAATTGAGCGCACACTTGCGAAGAGAAAATTATATAAAAAAGAACGTACTGCCAATATCATCGATCAATTTTTATGATTGCCTATTTATATTTAATTTTCTTGCATTTTTTTATTATATTTTTTGCGTTTTTATTATTTTATAATGTATTATGACTGAGGAAGTCTCAAGTTTAGGGACAAAACGTTTCAGTTGGTTATGTATTTTGATTTTATTGTAATATATATTCATCAACTTTATATTTTCTCGATTTTGACCTTGTATCTATCTTGTTTGTTTATCTAATTTTATTTAGTTATATGTAAAATTATATATAATCTTATATGGACATCGTGTATGATTGTATATAAATTATATATAATTCGAAGATATACAGGGTGTCCCAGAATTGGTGTAATATCTCTCGTAGACAGATAGAAGCAGTGAAACTGAGTCGACACGTTCTATATCATTTTGCTAGATTCGCAATAGTTACCGAGATCTTAACAAAGATCCGCGAATAAGCATGCATCGGGCTTACGCGCATAAAACAGCCTGATGCACGCTTATTCGCGGATCTTTGTTAATTAAGATCTCTTTGTTAATTAATCGAGATCTCTTAACAAAGATCCGCGAATAAGCATGCATCGGGCTTACGCGCATAAAACAGCCTGATGCACGCTTATTCGCGGATCTTTGTTAATTAAGATCTCGGTAACTATTGCGAATCTAGCAAAATGATATAGAACTTGTCGACTCAGTTTTACTCCTTCTACCTGTCTACGAGAGATATTACACCAATTCTGGGACACCTTGTATATATATACATATATATAAAACTTCGATATATATATATATCGAAGTTTTTAAGTATAAAGAACTTTTTTGAGATTTACTGAAACATTAAATTACATATAAAAATATTTATATCTATTAACCTAATTTTAATATTTATATCTATATTGACATATTTTTATATATATTACAATTTTATTAAATTTTTAATAAACATTCTATACTATAGGTCTGTATTACTTCAGTACTATATATTAAAAACTTACACATTTATAGTAAAGTTAATAATTACTATAAATTAAATTTTAATATAAAATCTATAAATAACTGACGCAGTAAATTTTAAGAATAAGCAATTTATTATATTCAGTTTTGAATAGCGTTCTACGATTTATAATGGAATTTTTTATCAATGTTGTTGAACTTTTTCTTTTTATAGTTTCACCAACTTTATTTTCATCAGAGATTAAGAATTTTTTAAATAGATGTTCATACTTAATAGATGGAGAAATCATGGGAGTCCCGCGACTAACTGGAAATTCTACGGGCGGATATAAAGCGGCAATTTGTGGTTGCAAGCCGCAGTTGTAAAGTTTTCCAATTCCTTGTAACATTATAACGACTGGATTTTCGGTCGTGCGATGAGTGAGCGCGACATTAGTCACTTGTGGATGAAGAGATTCTTCCAAGATATGCTGCAAAACGCTGGTTGGTGCAATTTCGACAGTCACGGCAGTTTTTGGAATTATACGTATTGTTTGTTCAAAAAGAACAGTAGTCATTATGATATTCGTGAGATAGTCAGCGGAGCACAATTGTGCTGCTGGAGTAGACCATTCAGCAGAAGGCACAGATGTACTGATCCATTTTGAGCTCCTTTTCTTAGGTTGTGATATTAGTTGACTTAAGTTTTGTAAAAGTGTATCTTTGATAGATGCAAGATAATGACTGTGATAAGGTATGTTGTTGCAGAAAATTTCTTGCACATACGTATTATTAGCCTAATAAAACAGAATTAACCGATTGATATGTAAATTTAATGTATAAAGTACTTTGTACGCTACTACATTTCATTATATATACAGGGTGTTTTATTTTAATTGACGGCCTAAAATATCTTTTGAACAGTGCATTTTAGAAAAACATGTTTCAAACAAAAGTTATATTGTTTGAAGGGAGACATAAGAAAGTGCCATTGATTTGATTTTGGAAAGTTGTTTGAAGGTCATCACCAATTTCTTAAACGGAATTGCACACATCTCATTACATAATTTTGTAGCATATTTCGAGAGCTTTTCAAAACACTAAAATAAAGTACTTTTTCGTTAAGTACTTTTCGACTTTTAAGGCTTGAAAGTTACAGTATTGCCGACATTAGCATCATCTAAGAGGTGTATTCCGATATTCACTGCCAGTACTGGCAGTGCAACAAATACTGTTCCAAAATACATAACAGTGAGCTGTTGAAGCACTTTTGCGAGCATACACAGAAAAAAATGAAGTTGCTTCAATTAAAGTTGACGTCACGGGCTGCCACAAAAATAAATAGTTCATTCAATTGCATATGCGATTAATTTAATGTCTAAATTCTTAAAGCAACTATCTGCTGTGTATAGTGCAATAATATTGATGCTGCATCAACAGGATATATTTCAAATAAACTGATACTGTTGATTCACCATCTTTTTTTTCCGTGTATGACATCACGGATTTTGTCGTCATTTTTTGCTTTCATTACTGCAATTAGAGAGGTAAGGCAGTCGCAATAGAAAGATAGCGGCGTCTATGACTGTAATACATTTAATAAATGCTGAGATAAATATAGAATAGTTCAAATCACCAAAGAAAATACTGATAAGCAACATGATGCTCATAGCATACGTGGAATTGAACTTCTTTTTCTAGATAATAATAATAATAATTCCTCTTCACTGTCTAAAGAATCAATGTCTGATGATTCTATTAAATGTTTTGCCAACTCTGTTAGCATTACAATTTTTAGGCCTATTTTTTATTTTTTTACGTATTATTAACGTGTCAACTGACTAGCTTGCGCTTATGATTATGTTTGGAAATTTCAAAGTACTACAAATATCGTTCCGTTATAGGACGGAAAAACTAGTATAAGTAATTGTAAAACATAGGAACAGCATTGTTTTATGACGTAACATTGTCAGTACTGGCAGTAAATATCGGAATGCACCCAAAATGTACCACGTGAAGGTTGTCTGGTCGGATTTACACCTCTATTGTGTGATATCACAGCAGTCTATACTCTATAGATGCCAGATCGTGCAGGACAGCACGATCTGGCATCTACAAGCTGCGCTTGCTTGTATTACTCCGCCTCTTGTTGCTAAGACATTGCATGATGTGAGCCATCTTTCTTATACTGACAATTACACACGCCTACAGAGTCAGGATTATCGATTTCCACGCGCTCATTGGTTCACATTTATTAATGTATATTTCATTAACTATTGTAAAATTTGCAAAATAACAAATAACTTTTCTATTCAGTTTGACTCAATCTATCTCCATATTTTGGTTGTGTCAAAATTTTTCAGACACCCTGTACATAAATCTCAGTTTAACATTTGCTAATCACTTAATCTACTTACTTGTAATTTTTTTATAAACACGTGCATACATTCTGTGGGTCCACTTATAACGTTGCTTTTCTGACTGTTGCGACATACAATTTCAATATCTGCTGGACATATATTTTTGAGAGTTTCGTAATCGAGATTGACAGTTGCCATAGATCCGCAAGGCACAGTGCTTTCGACACATGCCGAAGCAATCAAGTACGCTGCTAGAATAGTTTGTTCAATAGTGAGGCACTTATCTGCGTAAGCGCATCCAAGTTCTCCAATAGAATATCCGATCATGTTATCCGGAATAAGTTCCAAAGCTGTTAGAAGATCTACTAATCCGATCTGCAAAAGTTATGTAATTATTCTATACATTACAGCGTATTACATTAGTATAAAGTTATTTTTATTATACAGGATGTTTTATAACAAATGAATCAGCCGAAGTGTGTAGGTAGATCGGGTCAATCCGAACAGAAAAGTTATTTACCTTTTTGCAAAATGTGCAATAGTTATTGAGATATGAATTAATAAATGTGAACCAATGAGCGCGCGGAGGGCAATGATTGGACTCTATAGGTGTGCACGATTAGCTGTAAAGAAAAATGGCTTCTTTCATGCAATGTCTCAATGAGAGGTGAAGAAACAAACAAGTGCGACGCGACTTTAGCTTCTTGCGATCAGGCAATATTCGGCGGTACGTAGCGAGCAGCGGCGAACAAAGGGTACCCCTCGCTATAGCTACTTCGGCTGATTCATTAATTATGAGACACCCTGTATATACATAGTTTATTTTAGTTACGTTGTATTTTACATCTTGAAATACAAAAAAAGCACCATTAACTTCTTTTATAGCTTGACAATATCATAATTTACCTGAATTGCAACGATACAGATCAATGTATTCAAAGGGCTTTTGTCTATCTTTTCGTCTATTATTGTCATGATGGAAGTTACGCTTATATTGTATGGTTTTAAAACATTATCGCATATTTCCATACTACGTGCAAAGATGGAAAATTTTAGTAAATGGTGACCTGCATATTAAAGTTTAGGACAGTATTATTTACATTATAGTAGTTAAACAAAGTCCGCAGTTAAACAAAATAGTAATTAAACCGCAGTTAACAAAACCGCAGTTAAAAATACCTAGATCAAACCATTGTGAACCCACTCCAGAAAATATAAACCAAATAGGTCTTTTATCATTTCTATAAGCCTGAATTTCTTTTATCGAACATTGTTGCATTTTATTCAGTACAATATATCCTCTCCATAAATTATTGTCTATATTATAAGCATAAACGTCATGCAGTAATCGAATATACTCCACGTCCAACGAATAGTTTGCGATCTAAGCAAGTGTTCAAACAAATATTTCTCAGAGACTTTAATACAAGATATATATGCACACAACTTCTGCTTGATTAAACATAACGTTTTGACGTGTGTACTTACGTCTTTTAAAAACGAACGCACTGATTCTTCAGTGCGTCCAGATATAGTAACAAGTCTCGGCAAATCATCATTTGGTGTACTGTTATTGATCTTTCTTTTAGGGTTCCACTTTAATAATAAATGACTATTGGCTCCTCCAAATCCGAACGAGTTCATGGCTATGTAACCGTTTGTAAGACGCGTTGATTCCGTGACAACACGTATAGTTCCATTTCTGAAAGATTCTATGTCCTGTCGTGGTGATGTATAGTAGATCATTGGTGGAATAAAGCCAGTTTCCATTGCGATTATTGCCTTCAAAAGTACGATATAAAGTCTCAAGATTTTTTCGAAGATTGATTTGTTTATTAACGTGATTTAAAGTTACGATNTATTTTATTTTTTCTACTTTTATTACAAAGCCTTTTCTCTATATTATAGATATAGAACAGTTTGTTACTCTACCTTGGCGATTTGATTCATACCGCTGGCTGGTTCAGCGTGACCAAGACTGGATTTTATAGATCCAATTAACAACGGAGTCTTTCTTTCTTTACAGAAAACATTAGAGAGAGCAGCAATTTCTGGTGGATCACCAGCTTTTGTGCCAGTACCGTGTGCTTCAACGTATTCCACATTAGTTGGCGATATCTTGCACTCTTGATAAAATTCAGTTAATAATTGTGTTTGCGCACGTTCCGATGGGTATGTTATTCCTTCTTCTTTGAATCCATCGCTGTTCAGTTTAATATGTTTGCATAAAGCATAAATTCTTTTCGCGTTTTTTGCCTTTTGAAGATATAATACCGATGTAGTTTCACTACGAGTATAACCATTTGCGTTTACATCAAACGGTCTGCAATGACCTATTGGTGACAAAACACCTAAAATCAAACATAGTACACATGAAAAAATGCATTTTTAGAATATATCTTTGTTCTTTTTTGTATATACATAGTAAAAAAATAAGCAAGTTTACTGATACTACCAAGACGAAAAAATTGCATAGTCAGTGTCGGGTGTAGACACAAATTTCCAGCAGCAACAATAGCTTCTTCACATTTACCAGATGTGATGTAGTAACAAGCAATTGCTATAGCATAAAGACTAGAGCTACAGGCGGTATCAACTACTTGAGATGGTCCTTTCAGATCCAGCATATAGGAAATAAAATTTGCCACTACAGCTTTACAACAGCCAACAATATTCATACCACCAATCTAATTATAAAATGTGGTTTAGTACAGTTATTATTTTCAGTATCAAATAAGTATAAGTAAATGTGTATGAACTGTTATATTAATCAATTACTGTAAATATTTTTTACCTGCAAGTCTCGATACATAAGTATCTCTTGCGACTCAGAAAAAGATAGTCCTACAATTGTAGCAATATTTCTTTCTCGTAGTTGCATTGGATTGATCCCTGCGTCAATAATTGCTTCATAAGTATGCTCCAATAATCTTCTAAGTGATGGATCAATTGTATGAGCTTGAATATCACACATATTAAAATAGTCCGCATCAAATTTGTTTAAATTATTAATCACTCCCATACGTCGTGGTAAGTCCGAATGTTCTATAACAGATGATACAAATGTCATAGCAGTGATACTGATTCATGTATCTTGAGCGCTCTAGCACAGCCACTCTTTAGCCCGTTAGCGGTAATAAACAATGAACAACAAATTCAAAACTTGCGTATCTTAGAAGCAATTTATCAAAGAGAGACTTTGGTACCAAAAATGGACGAGCCACGAACTGTATAAAGGACAATTCACTCTTGGTTTTGATTTTATGTACTTATAATTTTTCATTAATGGTGTGTTTTTTGTGATGGAGCCACGCAATTGAAACAGAAATATAACAACTAATTAGCTACAAATTAGCACTAAAAAAATTCGTAATTTAATTTTGTTTCTTTTAATTTTTTCATGTGGCTGTGCTGATTTTAGAGTTAAAGTAGCACAGTCATCGATTTTTTTTAAATATTTGGGGTAACAAAGTCGACAGTAGAGCAACTAATTAGCCACAAATTCGCACTAAAAGAATCCGTACTTAATTTTTATTTATTGTTAAATTTGAATTAAACGGCTATGAATAGGTCATGTGTTTGATTATAGTAACAACTTAAATCTCGAACATTTTGTAATATACCATGAATCAATTGATAAGGACTTAAAATATAGTCCAAACGTATTGACACAACTGTAATTACATTTATTTCTTGCACAACATCCTGCATAGGCTCTTCATAGCCGTTTAATTCAAATTTAATATTGGAATTTCCAAAGAGAGCCAGGTGACACCTCAATATTTCACTGTTTTTATTTATTGTATTTTTTGTGTGTGGCTGTGCTGAGTTTAGACTTACGTCAGCACAGCCGTTGGTTTTTCGACAACAAAAAAGCACTAAATATTTAGGTAGATTTTTTTTAATTGTGGTGAAGTGGCTGTGTCAGCTTTATAGACATGGCCAGAATTAACAATGCTCGTTGTTATTATGTCTTTGGCAACTGTTTTTCAAGGCGTCACTGCCACGCAAGTACGACTTGTTAAGTCAATGCGAGTTGCACGTATTTTAGTAATAACTTTTATTACAACGTAACTTGGCTCATATTATCTCATTTTGTATGTGAGCAACAAAAATGTTTTTAATAAAGAAGACGGTTCGTATTGTATGGTGGAGATTGGCGATATTATCTGTGACCATAACGTTGTCAACATTGGTGATTATGTATCATTTTATTGGAAATTTAAGACATGTACGGGACAAGTTCTTAAAAACTCAGGTATTTATATATAGTCTATATAATGATATCTCTTTTTTTATTATTATTTTAGAACCGAAATTCTAAAGTACAGTTTTCCGATCTGAGTTTCTATTTTCAGAGATTTTGATTATATCTAATGTACTGCAACAAAGTAAACATTATTCTTATATCTTACTGAGATAACCGAAAAACAATGTTTTTATATTCGTGTAAATTGACATCTTATATGTTACATTTTTTTATTTTAATTTTAATGTGCATATTACTTATATGTATGATACTGTTTTAGAAAATCTTGAGGAATTAAAAGATCTGAAAAAAATACAAGAAAGTAACAAAGAAAAATCATCAAAATATCTTTCGCCAATAGAGAATAAAAGAAAAAAGAAAGTGGAACAACAAGTAAAAAATGTATTTACTATTATAACTTTTATTTATGTATAATTATTTGTATGTGTATACATTTTGTTTTATTTTGTCTAAGTTTAAAATTTGCATTCTTGGATATATATACATAGTTATTATCTTAATTGTACACTTATTTCTAGAAAAAGATTTTTTAAACCTTAAAATAATTTTTTAGCATGACAAAAAAAGATCGAAGGTAGAAGATGTAAACGAAAATAATAACATTGAGACAGAAACTAATAATATTACAATACCATTAGCAATAATGAAGAATCATTACTCGACACGAAAAGAATTGCAATTATAAAGATTCAGCAGAGGATCAAGTAAATAAAGCTGAGATTGATAAAGTTATGGCATGTATAATACTATATAACTCTAAATATCTTAATTTTTTAATTTTATTACTTATATGTGTATACATATATATATATATATATAAAGTAATAACAGCTTGTTTCGTATATAGAATTGATTTAATGTTGTTTTAAAAATTTTAATATGTAAATTTTATAATGATTGTAGGAATGTATCCAAAGTACATCAAAAGCTAATCTTAAAAAAATATTGCCTACAATATTACAGCAAATTTCTAAAGAAGAATGCAAAATAAATACTGAAGAAACACTTGATGAAAAAGTAAAGCAATTAAATACATTAGAACCTCCAGATAATAAAAATGATAATACACCATTTGGTATAATTTCACAAATTTTATATAATATATATACTTTTATATATACTTTTTCATTTAGTATATATACTGTTTTTTCTTTTTATTAATATGTACTTTATACGTATATGTAATTAACAGAAACATTTTTTGATGATTGGAATTCTGACTCATTAACTCGCAATTCACTAGTGGACGTCACAGATAATAAGAAAATTATTCTTCAAACTGTACAAGAAGAAGAAAAAGAAGATATAGACACACCAGAAAATCCTCAACTTTTTTGGAAAGAAATGTAAAGATAGTGAAGTATGTATAATACTAGAAATAATTTAATATATGGTACAAAAAATAAATTTAATTAAAAATATTATTAATGTAAATTTAATATGTGCAATACAATTTATTTGATTAATAAAAAATAATTAAATTTAAAATATTTATATATATTCTAAAAATTATTATATTAATTATTATATTTATATTAACGATCATACAAAATTATATCCGAGATTCACATATAATCCTATATAATCCATGATTTTCCATTTTTTCTCGAGGTTACGCGTTTAGTAACTGTAAAATACTATTTTGCTTGGCATTGACGCATGAGTTTTATGGGTCTGTATAAATTAATATCTCATTAATTCCTTACTTAACGATTTAATTTCTGACTGCGCATACTAAGCAACAAAATCGCTCACGCGTTAGGATCAAAGTACAGTATAGGCATATGTAACAACGTGGTTATACCCTCGATTTTCCTTTACCAATCGCATAGAACATAACTCTTTCAGTAAAAAATTTTTTATATACAGGGTGTCCCAGAATTGGTGTAACATTTCTCGTAGGCAGGTAGAAAGAGTAAAACTGAGTTGAAAAGTCCTGAACCATTTTCTTCTATTACTTATAAAAAAGAGTAATTATTCAGTAAATGAGGCCAATCAGCGCCGACCTTTAGCCAGGCGCACGTCAGTGAACCGCGCGGAGCGCTCACACACACTTGGCGCGCGGTTCACTGACGTGCGCCTGGCTAAAGGTCGGCGGTTGATTGGCCTGAGTTACTGAGTAATTACTCTTTTATTATAAGTAATAGAAGAAAATGGTTCAGGACTTTTCAACTCAGTTTTACTCTTTCTATCTGTCTATGAGAAATGTTACACCAATTCTGGAACACCCTGTATACTTATACACAAATTAAAATTATTATATCTAATTATGCAACTTTATATGTCAAAAATATGTCTATATAATTTTATACATGGAAACTATTTTACCGAGACAATAGATTTAGGCTGCTTTCCTTTTAGGAGACAGACGACACAAGTCGACACAAAAGTCATTCTGTCTTCGTTTAGTATTCAGTGAGAAACAAAGACAAAATAACTCTTGAGTCGACTTGTGTCGACTGTGTCTCCTAAAAGGAAAGCAGCCTTAATAACCTCCCGAGAAAAAATGGAAAATCATGTGATCATATAGGATTATATATGGATCGGATGTAATTTTGTATGATTGTGTAAACTTTTATATACCTCGAATATGATTTTATATAAGTTGGATATGATTGTATGTGATCATGTAAAATCAAATCCGAAATTTGGCACGATCTGATTTTAAATGATCACATATAAATATAAGAAATCATATACTATCGTACATAATTTTATGTATTTATATGTGATCATATAAAATCAGATCGCGCCAAATTTCGGATCTGATTTTACACGATCACATAAAATCATATCTACCTTATATAAAATCATATTCGAGTTATATAAAAGTTTACACGATTATACAAAATTACATCCGACCCACATATAATCCTATAGGATCATATGATTTTTCATTTTTTTTTTCGGGCTTACGCGTAGCAACTGTAAATGCGCAAAATACTATTTTGTTTGGCATTCACGCATGATAGTTTATTATGAATCTGTATAAATTAATAACTCATTAATTTCTTGCCTAACGATTTAATTTCTGACTGCGCATACTAAGCACCCGGTAAAAAAGTTTTCATATATACTTATACGCAAATTAAAATTATTATATCTAATTATGCAAATTTATATGTGTGTGTGTGTGTGTGTGTGTGTGTCGAATATGTCCATACAATGTTATATATGAAATTTCTTTTTTTAAGAGGAAAACTTCAGAGATATTTCATATCAAATTACAAAATAACTCTATTAGTATCATGTTAGACACAAGTAAATTATATTAAACTATATTTTTACATTATTAATTACATTTTATTACATATTAAACTATATTTTTAAAAAATTTTTGATATATGATCATATATACTTATAAACGAATTAAAATTATTCTATCTAATTATGCAACTTTATATGCCAAATATGTCCATATAATTTTATACATAGAAACTTTTTTACCGAGACAATATATTTAATAATCTCACGAGAAAAAAAAGGAAAATCATGTGATCATATAGGATTATATGTGGATCGGATGTAATTTTGTATGATCGTGTAAACTTTTATATAACTCGAATATGATTTTATATAAGTTGGATATGATTTTATATGATCGTGTAAAATCAGATCTGAAATTTGGCGCAATCTGATTTTATATGATCATATAAATACATACAATTATGTACGATAAGAGAGAGAAGAAAGAGTGTATGATTTCTTATATTTATATATAATCTTATATTTATATATGATCTTATATTTATATATAATTTTTATATTTATATATGATCATATAAAATCAGATCGCCAAATTGCAGATCTGATTTTATACAATCACATACAATCATATCCAACTTATATAAAATCATATTTGAGATATTTAAAAGTTTACACGATCATACAAAATTGTATTCGATCCGCATATAATCACATGATCTTCCATTTTTTCTCGAGCAATTAAAAGTAATTATTTAATTATCAATTTGCTTACCAAATTTCCATCGCTTATGTTTGTCTGTCTGAAGATCGACTTTATTAAATAGACATTCTTGCAACTGCTTCATATTATCTGCACCTGGGAAGGTACCAGAAATGCCCGAAATAACAATTTCCTCAGGATCGATATCGGCGCACGATTCATATTTATGTTCATCCATCATGATTGATTAATTGTATTTATCTGGCAGAATGTTTACGAAAATTATGTTTTCTAACCACGGTTTACTAAAACCTGTAATTTTTTTGTTCACACTATTTGAACAAAGTGATTCAGTGTGTTTAGACCGACAAGCATGACGTGACTACACAGTAAGGACTACAGATCGTTTCGCTTTACCTTTTCATATATTTAAATACATTAGTATACATTAGTATATTAATGTAATTTATTTATTAGTATACATTAGTATACTAATGTATTTTATTTATTAGTATTCATTAGTATACTAATGTATATTAATTTGAATATATGAAATGTTATTAGTATCATTGTATAATGTAAAATAAAGTGCTAATGATATGCTTATTCAAGAAAAATGGAAAATTGTAACGTCCGTCTTTTATTGATTTATTTATTTCTGTGTTGTTGCGGAATAGCTCGTCATGGTTCGTTAAAGAAAACTCAGAGTGACCCGGATATTTTATAAGAAATAGAAAATTTGGTATATTCAAAAAAAGAAATATAAAAAAATAGAAATATATATATAACAGTTCTGGAATATTGTGCTTTGCTGGTTTTCTCGAGCGATGTGCTCGGTTGCCCGGCGTGAAACGGCGCGGGGCGTGCTAGCGGCGGTGATTGCGCGGTGTCGACGCTGCGACGCTTGATTCGGTGTACCAGGCGCTGGTCGTCGGTCTGGTTCCTGTGCGAGAGGCTTCCGCGCCTCTCAACGCAGTGCAAATGCCGGTTTACCTTGCGGGAAATCAAATGTTCCCCGGAACGGTTCGGATGCCGGTTTTCCCGGCGGAGAATTTTACTTCTCCCGGTGCGTAGCGGATGCCGGTTTATCCGGCGGAGAATTAAATATTTCCCGGAAGGGTTCGGATGCCGGTTGACCTGGCGAAGAATTAAATATTCCCCGGAAGGGTTCGGATGCCGGTTGACCTGGCGAAGAATTAAATATTCCCCGGAACGGTTCGGATGCCGGTTTTCCCGGCGGAGAGAATTTTACTTCTCCCGATGCGGAGCAGATGCCGGTTTATCCGGCGGATAATTAAAATATTCTCCGGAACGGTTCGGATGCCGGCAAAGAGAATTTTACTTCTCCCGGTGCAGAGCGGAATCGAATCTGCGAGTTGCCTGTCGGTTTTCCCGGCAGAGGAAGAGCTTCCCCGGGTGCTTCTCTCGATTCGGAGATCGGAGCTGATCTGCCACGGAGCTTTTTGGCCCGGCTTGTATACTCAAATGCATCCGGATGTTCGTCGCAATATTACGCAGAGTGGGAAAGAGCAATTGCGGGGAAAACAAGAAATTGTTTGCTTTGTATGGCGTTCCATGGCGCGTTGGGGCGCGCGGTGCGAGTGCAAGTCGCTTGAAGGCGCGGTTAGCGCGCGGTGCGAGTGGTACGCATAGATGCCAGATCGGGGACGATCGGGGACGCTTGCAGCATGCTCCGCAAGTAGAGGGGATACACAGACAAAACGCACATAGGCAAACAGCCGTGTACGTGTGCTCTCAGCGCTTCGACGAGTGGCTGCTCGCTTGTGTGCGTATCCCCTCCACTTGTTGCAGCATGCTGCAAGCGTCCCCGATCTGGCATCTATGCCTAGAAACAATCTACGTACCGTGGTACGTAAACTGTTTCTAGGTGCAGTGAGCGCGCAGTGCGGGCGGTACGCAGTCACGGAAACACGTGAAAGAGAGAATTTGATAGTTCTCTAGAATCGTTGAACGAGAGGCATGTCCCGGCGAAAAATCAGGCGGTTAACGATTCTGATTGTGTCCGGCGAACCGAACGGTCAAAAACGGGTCGCTCCCTAATAATCTCAGTCGAGTTGTAGTGCTAGATCGCCATTGTCAAATTGTATCAAACTTTATACTGTCTAATAAATTACGTTAAACTTTACGTTAACCTGTAAAGATGAGAGCGTGTGAGTTTGATTGTTACATTCCGCTAATTGCCGTTTGAGGAGCATATTTGTTGTCGTACCGTGAGGACAGTTGCCCTTGGTTCGTATCGTGAAAAGAAAGATAACATTGAGACATTTGTGAGAATTTGTCGGTCGTGTCGTGTTGTTCACGTGTCGGGAAGGGAAACAAAGGATAAGATGACTACTGAACTTTTATTGTAGATTCCCTTTCAAATTATAAACCGTCGTGTCGAACATTTTTGTGTATGTATGACAAGCAAGAACATATGCATATATGGTCTACATCTAAAGTATAATAACAAGACAAATAAGTAATAAAACTATATCTCAGAATGGGACGTTATTGCATTATATGTAAGTCAACAAACCGTAGCACACACACACACAAAATATCTCTTCACGCGTAAGTATAGATTTACTTTGTAATAGTAAGCTCTTAATTTTGAGGTTATATCTTGAATTAACTTAGAATTAAATGTATAAGGTGTAATATGTAATATACATTAAAATAACCTAAAATATTATTATATATTCTATCCACAACGATTAGATTTCCTAAAGATATAATACAAAGACGTAAATGGTTCAAGTTTTGTCAAATTGATGAAACAAAAATAAACTCTTCCACTATGCTTTGTAATAAACATTTCAAAGAAGAAGACTTTTTACATAGAGTTGGAGACAACATATTAATATTAAAGAAAGATGCAGTACCATCTGTCATGAAATTAAGCAAATGCAAGGAGAGGTATATTTGTTTAGAAATTATTGTATTTTTATATTGCTTTGTGTGTATAAATATTATTAAAGAAAATATAAAAAATGTGATAAAATTACGATTTTAGATTGTACCAAAAAATGATCGATTCACTGGAACATTTCGACGATGCAAATAATACAAGTATGAAATTGATAAACAAAAAATCAGAAATTGGTAAGTTATAATACTCTATATATTGCAAATATATAATTATTATAAATGTATAATCTCTATGAGTACTTATTCCTATAGTATATTACATTTAGAATTTGAATATTTGGATAATAATAAAATATTAAATGTACCTGCAAAAGAAGATAATAATGAAGAAGGCATTACTTCTTTTATAACTGAAGGTAAGTTAATTATATTTAGTTTATGTCTTTTTATTTTCTCAACTTATATGTAGTTGTGATCTAATATTACTAATATTCTATATGCAATTTTAGATTGTAAAATAGAACCTAAAATATGTCAACAATCGATTAATATAGATTCAAACAAGACAAACAATAAAAATAATACAAATCTAATGACAGAAGATTTATGTATAAAACGAAATATTGGTAAGTTGCAATAAAATATGTATTATACATATGTATATATGTATTATACATATATATGTGTTATACATTATAATGTGATTATATATATAATATGATTAGTACATATTCATTACTATGTTTTATATTTTAAATTGGATTACTTAATAATAAAACATTAGATGATGCTCTATCAGTTAACAGAATAATGTTGTGGAGAATATTTCTCTTAAAACAATTGAAAATAAATCTAACTTATCTAACTGTATCTGATTCATAAAAGAGAAAGATATTGATAAATTATTATTTTTTATTAATTAACTAATAATTTCAAATAAATACTAATAATTTCAGATAAAACCATAAGATGTACTAAAACATTAAGATATTTTGGTGATATTAAAACATGTCTTATAACAACTCCAAACCAAGCTAAAAGAGCTTTAGATGTTGCTGCGAGGACGATATCACGATACAGAAAAAAAATTCAGACATTACAAAAAGCATCTAACAGATATAGAAAAAAAATTAAGTCTTTAAAAGATTTGGTGCAACAATTAAGAAAAAAAAATTTAGTCACTGAAAATGCTGCAGAAGTTTTATTAACAAATAATAGAAATCAATAAAGATAGCTCCAAAAGTTTTTACTTATATAGACAGATGTGTGGTGATTGGCTGACAAAATAATGTCTTCAATAAATGGACTAAATGTCAAGAAACTTGAGACATAATCGTGGTCAAATATTTCGACTGATGCTGCACGTACTTCATCATTTTCAATATATAATGAGTCAGATTAATTACTTTTTGCTGAAAAAAATAATATTTGCACATCATTTATTAAACAATTTCTTTGTTCAGAAGCATTTATATCATGACGTACCAACAATTGCTTATAAGCATTTTCAAATTGCTGTGAATTTAGATTATTATTAAAACTACTTTTACTTAAGAAGGTACTGGATACCGACTATAGAGACCTGTAAATCGACGTTTTAATATTTCGTTTTGTGCCGTATTTACTGCATCAAATCCAAAATGCTTCTACAGAAATAAGTAAATTATGCTAAGAGTTTGCTGTTGTTCTTTGGAATGTCAAAATTNGCATCAAATCCAAAATGCTTCTACAGAAATAAGTAAATTATGCTAAGAGTTTGCTGTTGTTCTTTGGAATGTCAAAATTCAGCATAAATTTTTTCTTATACAGTTTTCTTCTATAACCTCACCATATATTCATGTATATAAAATTATTTTTCTAAGCTTATGTACGTATTTACACTGAACTACAGCAATACGTACGACACAAAACAATCTAATGAAACACTCAGAATATGATTTGGTTGTCTAATTGATGCATAAAAAGTAATATTGTGATGATGTGTATTTGATACCATATACTATCATTATGAATGAAAAACAAGTTCAAAAAAACATTATATACCCATTTTCAAAAGCTTTATATAGTTTTGTATATTTATTTGCTTCTGTAGAAGCGCTTTTAATGTTGTGCAGTAAATAAAATTAAAAAATAAAGAAATTTAGGTTATAAAAACGTCGGTTTACAGGTCTCTATCCAGTTTACAAGCCAGGCTCCAGTACCCTCTTAAAGCACTAAAAAATGTTTCAATCATATATATAATACTTCTATATTGCTAGTACCAGAGAGAAACCTGAGAGCGGCCATCTTAATGTAATTTTTTACGACGGTTTCAGCCGCTGGTTTTAGCCGTATTTCCACAAAAGTGGAACTCAAAGGCCGTTCTACATTAAACACAAGTCGCAGATCTCGTGGAATTGACCAATTGCAGAGTCAAATCAGCCAATCGACCAACGTGATTGAGGCCTCGTGCCTCTCATTGCGAAGATACGCGACTAGCAATATAGAAGTATTATATATATGGTTTCAATATGGTCTTGACTTATAGGTTAATAAATATTGTAATTTTTTTGTTTTTAAAACATCAAATAAATCAAATATATTTTGCAAACATATAAATCTTAAAAAGCCAGTTTTTTTATTAGTTTCTAAAATTTTATGGTTGTTAGTATCTTTTAAATTTGTGATATAGTTTATATCATATGCAAGACTTTTCATTTTAGTAAAATTTTCAGCACAAAGAGCCGCTTTATGTTGAATATCTTTGGAAAATCATATAAATCTTTGGAAAGTCATATAAATGTTCCGTCTATTATATAAGTCTATGGTATGCTATCATCTCTCACTATCACTCTCTGTCAACTGATTTTCGGACGTCTATCTTCGTTGCTCTCTGCCACTCTCTCGGCCTGCCGCGGCCACCAATCAACTCACTGCTAGAAAAGAAGAGAACTACTCCACGACTATTTCTGTCTCTTTTAACGAAGCTTCAGCTCTTCTTACACGAATGTTCCGTCTATTATATAAGTCTATGGTTTGTTCCTCCTGAAGTGCACTATCTTGGAATGGCGTATGGACTAACCGTTATAGGTCCAAGAGCCACAAGCGCACCAAACCAAACCTGAAGTGCACTAAACCAAATTTAACCTACTGTTTGTGCAAATGCTGCAAATAATAGAATAAGATTCGTTCAAGAAACTATGTAAATGAACAAATACTATTGGACAAATATTATTAACAAGGTTCTTATATTTTCAAAAATGGCACATTGGCACGATCGTAGAAGAATGTCCAACTCTTTTTCACGACGTAACAGAGAAGGTAAAATTGACGTGAAGTATCCGAATTTTCTTTAGCTTTATAATTCAATACCTAAATATGCTTGTATATTTAATATAATAACTTTACGATTGTTGGTACATATAATCAGACATTTGTATATATATATATAATAATGTATGAATTTTATGTCATCATTTATTTTCATAAAAACTTTTTCAAAAGTGAAAGTTTTTACACAAATCTTCCAGACCAACAAGTTTACTCATCTGGTGAAGGACAAATGCAAAACCAAAGACATCCTCCTGGACTTAGGGGAAAGGCAATAGGATTGTATTACAGAGACAGAAACAGACAAAAACATGAAAAAGAAAAAATACCATCAGTTCTTAAATTGTCTACTCAAGTAGAAGAAAAACTCAAAACTATTTTAAGTAATTCCAAAATGTTTTTTAATTCAGTTTATAATGACAGATCATCTGAAAGACTTGACTCTGTACACAATAACAAATATCATCATATTGGAGATTCACAATTTAAAAGGAAATTCTTAGAAATCATAAATGGTAATATTCAGCACAATCTTATCAAAGCTATGAAAACGCCATCAAAACTGCAGAGAGATAGAGAAATAGACAAGAGGTTACTAAATGAATACAAAGAAAAGCAAATTCAAAGTGACTATTTAAATATGTTAAACTTTCGAACAAAGTTGCCAGTGTTTGATAAAAAATCAGAAATATTACAACTGATTGAAGAAAATCAAGTTATTGTAGTAAGTGGAGAAACAGGTAACTTACAAAAATCCTTTATAAAAAGTATATATTTACTTTAGAATAGTCAATGTGTTAATAATTTTGTTAATAAGAAAGAGACAGAGAAAAAGTGGATTATGTTAAAAATATTCTAGGTTGTGGTAAAACTACACAAGTCGCACAGTTTATATTGGATGGCCAATTAGAGGCTGGAAACGGTAGTATTACCCGAATAGCTTGCACGCAACCTAGAAGAATTTCAGCGATTTCTGTTGCTGAACGTGTAGCTGCAGAAAGAGCAGAAAAACTTGGAAAATCTGTTGGCTATAAGATACGACTAGAACAGTATGTTTAGATACATTACAAACACATTTACAATGCACATGATTTTAAGGAAATTCATAACTGATTATCAGTTTCTGTAATTCATAGAGTTCCATCACGAGAGGAAGGAAGTATATTATTTTGTACCACTGCTATGCTACTACAATTTATGAAAACTGATCCGGCATTGAAAAGTTTCTCTCATGTGATACTGGATGAAATTCACGAACGTACTACAGAAAGTGATTTTATTATCACATTGTTGAAACAAATTATTCCCAGTGTAAGTTGTAATTCTTACATAATGTCTTGTGCAGAGAATGTAAATTCATATTTGAGAGAAATTTTGTTAAATTTATTTTTTAGAGACCTGATTTAAAAGTCATTTTGATGAGTGCAACATTGAATTCTGAAAGTTTTTCGAAATATTACAACAATTGTCCGATCATACATATACCTGGATTCACTTTTCCAGTAGAAGAATTTTACTTAGAAGATATTCTATCATTTACAGGGTGAGTAAAATGTATATGAATAATATATATATATAAGAGCAGATACTTATACCGGTAGGTGAAATATCGGTATTATACCGATATTTTTTCGTTACATATTTACAACCTTTATACAAACCAAAATACAAAAATACCGGCATGACGTCATACCGCTATATAAAAATACCGGTATATTTACCTATATTTACCGGCAGTTTTTTCGGTTTTCTTATTTTGTTTCAATTTTCAAAATATTTTAAGGCACGGATTTCAAGTTATTATATCAGAAACGGTATACTATTACCAATATACGCAGCTGCTTTGATTTTGTAAACACCACTGCTGCTTTCTTTTCTTTACTTATATTTTTACGATATTTTTAAGATATTTTTAATTATATATAATAATGTTTTTAATTATATATTAAACAGTTTAATTAAACTGTGTAAATTAAATTATTAGTATTTACCAATAAGTTTTTCGGTTTTTTGTATATCATTATTTTGTATATAATATATTAATTTTTTATTTTTTATTGTAATTTTTAATACAGTTTTACTTATATTTAAAATTATTTATATTAAGCGTTACAATAAAAGATAATTAACTTAAATATATATATTTAGTATATTAAATAAATAATTTAATATAAATAATTTAATTAAGTAAATAATTAAGAAATAATGATATACGAAACCGATAGAATTATTGCCAAATATATACTACTATACCGATATTCTTATATAATAACTCCATTTTTATGAGAATTATAAATTAACAAAAATTTTACAATCAGCTTACCATGTCATTAAAAAAAAACCGAAAAAATATCGGTATTTATTTCGGTTTTCGGTAATATATTGGTTTCGGTACAATATCGGTTTTGGTACTAATTGGTTTCGGTATAGATTTGCTGACGTAATACCGGTATCAAAATTATATCGGTTTTAAGTCTCTATATAAGAGAAATCAAGATAATATTGTGTTGTAACATTGTGTTCAATTTATAGATTTAGATTTCAAGATCCAAGTCCAGAACCTTCTGGTTATAAAAAACATATAAAAAAAAATAAAGTGCGTCAACATAAGAAAGATGAATTTTTAGAAATATTACAACCTTACGTTAGAGAATTGAGAGCAGAGGTAAATAAAATATCTTATATATTTTTATCAAATAAAGTATGTGTATTTATAGTTATTATACGTTAATATATTAAATTATTTAATATATTAACTTGCTTGTACTTTCTTTGTTTATATTTTGTATAATTACGCAGAGAAAATACTCGGAAAGTGTACTTGAACAATTGAAGAATCCGAATAGCGAAGATCTTTCGTTAGAACTTGTTGAAAGATTAGTAAGATACATCTCTGATACAAAAGATCCCGGAGCTATTCTTATCTTTTTACCCGGATTGATGGATATAACAAAGTTAAACAGAATGATGATAGATTCTAGATGTTACCCGGATCGTGAGTAAATAATACTTTATTATATGAATTGCAGTGTACTAATATAAAAAGATAAATGTGCAAGAAAGATAGTTTCTTTTATTTTTATAGATAAATATTTCATATGTTCTCTTCATTCGCGCATGCCGACGGTTGACCAGAAACTTATATTTAAAGAACCTCCTAATGGAATTCGTAAAATAATCATAGCGACTTCAATTGCTGAAACATCGATAACTATAGAGGACGTGGTGTATGTAATAGATTGTGGAAAAATAAAATTCGGAAAATTTGACGTTGACAAAAACATTCAAACTTTAGAACCCGAATGGGTGTCTTTGGCCAATGCGAAGCAAAGACGCGGTAGGGCCGGCAGGTTCGTAGTTTATTCGCCGTTGCGAATTAAACAAAATAACATATTTTATTAAAGTTTTATAATGAAATACAATATGCGCGTATGTATTTTACAGAGTTAAAAGTGGCGAATGTTACCGTTTGTATTCGAAAGCTCGTGAAATGACTTTTGATCATTATCCACTGCCAGAAATGTTGAGAACGCGCTTGGAAGAGGTAATCTTGCAGATAAAAATTTTGCAATTAGGAAAGACCAAAGAATTTCTAACTAACGTTATGGATCCGCCAGATTTAAAAGCCATTGATCTGTCTCTCGATTTACTCAGAACACTCAACGCTCTTGACAAAGACGAGCGTTTGACTCCTCTGGGTTATCATTTAGCGCAGTTACCGCTTGATCCTAGAACAGGTAATTTTATTTTTGCTGTCATTGCAAAGTGTGTTTTTATTTGTCGATCTCTAATATATGTATAAGACACTTGTACTATTTTCATAGGAAAAATGATACTTTGGGCGGCATTGTTCTCTTGCGTCGAACCGATATTCGCTATTGCGGCTAGCCTTACATTTAAAGATGCCTTCTACTGCCCCTTGGACAAAGAACAACAAGCTAATGAGAAGAAGTTAAAACTCAGTAGGGAACAACATAGCGATCACATCGCTCTCGCGGAAGCTTTAAGATCGTATGAAGTTGCGCGCAGAAGAGGAGACGCTGGTCGCTTTTGCCGGGAGTATTTTCTCTCTTTCAATACATTAAAGCTTCTGTCCGAGATGAAGAATCAATTCGCGAGGTATTTGTACGAGATGAAGTTTCTCGACAGCGACAATCCGAGCGATGGAAGCGCTAATAGAAATTCTGACAACATGGCGTTGATAAAAGCCATTGTCTGTGCGGGATTGTATCCTAACATCGCTACTGTAAGGTAATAAAATGTTGACTTAAATGTACTTTCGATTTGTGTCGAGTTTATAATACATGTGTTTTGATTGAAAGAAATATTTAAGAAAGTACTTGTATATTTTTTTTTAGACGGTGTACTAAAAACGGTCTGATATGTTGGACGCCAGAAGATGGATCAGTGCGTACACATCCGTCGAGCGTGAACGACAAAATTAAGGAATTTCCTAGCCGATATTTGACATATTTTACAAAGCAACGATCCACCGCTATATTTTTACACGACACCACGTTTGTAAGCCTGCCAATGTTATTGTTTGCAGGATCGAATATAACAATAAGTAGGTAGCTTTTGTTGTAAATGCTAGTTAATTCAGCATGTTTGTTACATATGTTTTTGTCAACGTCATTTTTCATATTTCAGGAAAGGAAAAAGGAAATTACGTTATCGGCAACTTTAACTTTTCTGATAATATTGTTTGCGAGCCACGAACTGTAGAGGTGATACAGGTATGTCAATTTTGATAACGTTAAATTTTAACATATTGTTGGGAAGAAACAAGTTTTGAAATCATTTCTTGTAACGTAGGAACTTCAACGCGCTTTGAATACCTTGTTGGAGTACAAAGTTGCGCATCCAGCGTCCGTATCTTGGTCGACAATTGAGGGAGACTTGTTAAAGTAAATTTCCATATTTATTTATTTATATTTATTTATACAGTTATTTATTTTATATGTATTTCTTATAAATATATTCAAAAGAACCAGTTTTATTAATTCGTATATAACACGCATATATAACGGATTTATACGTGTGTATTTATTATGTTACAGTGCGATCATCGAACTGGTATCTCAAAATGACCACGAGATAGGTTTCGACGTCAAGAGCGGTAATGACGACGATGCCACTGATTTATAATTTCCGCTGATATTTGTTGTAATTTATTTATTATAAATGTCGATATCCCCTTCTTACGCACCATCTCCCTTAATATTGTTTAGAAATATAAAAACATAGTATGTCAAATTATATTCGCATCGCACGCGTGTGTTGAGAATTTCTTCTTTTTTTAAGTTTTCAAAATAATCTTTGCAAAACCATCTTGTTTATTATGACACAGGAATTTATTAATTAAATATATATTTATTTATGAACGAACAAAAGAAAGTAGAAAGTTGTGAAATATGCCAATAAAATGATCTTATGCGTAAAATAGTTTGTACGTGTAGTGGTTTATAACGTAAAAGTATATTAAAAGAATGTTGTGTGCGCAATCTAAAATAGCTAGAATAACGAAACAACAGCTGTTGTTTTTCATTGCGTCTCTACTTGGATGCGTAAAGTGACGATTTAGACCAGATCAACGAGGAGGATAATTCAGACGCTGACAACGCGACGCGCGCAATTCTTAGCAGAACCGTGGTGCAAACGGGACGCGAACTTTTGACCCGTCCATACTTCACGCGATCGTCAATAAAACACCATATCTAACCTCCTCCTCTCTCTCTGCCTTGCGCCGCTTTCTCATTCATGGATGCAAAATACATTTTTATCACTTCTCGATGGATTCGCGAGTGGTAAAAATCTAGGGATGCAATTTCGACGGATCAGATCAAATTAATTTTGTGTTTACGCACTTACAGCAACATGCGCAAGCAATTTTACCGTCTTAATTTTTTCAAAAAAAAAGTAATCTTTATTCATTCTCAGAGAGAAGCGAATAAAAAAAAGTCGCGACTCTTCGAACTCGTATTTTGTTTTTTAAATGCAAAAGATGCAAATTTCGAGACTCGGCGAGAATAGGACATTTCCGTGCGACGTTAATTTACATGCGCATATTTTTTTCATTTGATTAATGTGAACCGTATCGGAGAGATAAAGAATTTCGGCGTTTTATATTTTTCGCGCTATATTCCGAGTCTCTCGAGAGAGTGAATCCGTGGCGGGATCGCGAGACGTGCGATAAAAACGGGCTCGAGAGAGGACTGATAGCCGGCGATGCTAAAGCGGCAACAGGAGCGAGAGAAAGAGCACGGTTGCGCGCGGAAAGAGGGTGGGAGCGGGAGAGACCGCGAATATGTTCAGACCGATACATAGAGTATGGCGCGTAGCGTCCGATTCAGTCTACATCCGACCGTCGTGCGGTCCGTGCCGCGAAATCACCACTCGGATCGGATCGGATCACAAGTAAGAGACAGATCGGCGAGATACGACGGTGCATGTACGCATTACAACAACACAACAACCGGCCGACGCGGTCTCGTCGTTTTACCTTAAACCGGAACGCCGTGTTAAAGCTGCGAGATAATGTGAGAAATTTAGTTTATAAACTGAAATAAGTATCGCGGCGGTTAGAGTTCGAAAGAGAGAGTGTGTGTGTGTGTGTGTACGAAAAAAAAAAAAACATCCGTGAGAAGTTAAAAGAGAGAAAATATCGCGACGAGAGAATCGGAAAAAGAGAAATAAAAAAGAACGGTCGTCGGATAATTTAACACAGAGCGAACAAAACAGCGCGTCCGAGAGAGCAGCGTGTAGTGATCAACGGGGAAGTCGTGCGATATATCGAACGCCGCGCGATAAAAGCTGTAAAAATAATTCCGGCGACGAAGGGGTGGAACGAACGGAGCGGAGGAGCGCGAGATATATACGCGAATCGGCGAGAATAGAATTTCGCGCCGATCCGTCCGATAAAAAAACTCGACGATCCCGCGAGGGATGAATAACCGGCCTCGACGACGAGCGGCATGTAATTCGGCCCGAGGAGCTGGAATATGCTATTAACCACCGAGCGGAGCGCCGGCGATGTTTATGAGAGCGGGGGAGGAGCGCGGAGCAAAGGAAGCTAATAAACTGGACAACTTCACGCGGCGGCAACTTCACGCGACAGGTGCGAGTTATTGCGGCGCCGCCGCCTCTTCTGCATCGCGCGGTGCACAATTGTCATTATCCTCTGACCAAGTGCGTGTCGTCGTCCAGAAACATCTCCCCGTCGTCGTCGTCGTCGTCGTCGTCGTCGTTGTCTAGAGGAACATTTGTAGCACGACTCGCTTCGAAGATCGCAAGACGGAAAGCAGAAAGGAAAGGAACAAGGTGAGGGGTGTAATAATCTTTAAATCGAGTTGTGTGTTATATTTCGTTGCTTACTTCATTCCGGAATACTCGCGAAGGCAAACGAGAAGAGCGCATCTCGGGACGAGATCACGAGACGAGACGAGCCTGTTCCCGTTTCTTCCGACGCGACGGGAAAAATTGCATCGGAAAATCGAATCGGCACCCGCGCGTGTGAGTAGCATGTGTGTGTGTAGTATGTGTGCGTGCGTGTATGTGTGCGCGCGCGAGTGAGCGCGAAACCCGTGTCGGTGAGAGCGGGTCAGTGAACGATTGCGCGCCGCCGCCATCGTGAGAGCGACGAGAGGGAGGGTATCTTTCTTCGTTTCTCTCTCCTTCATTCTCTCCCCCGCGCCGTCTTTCTCTCTCTCTCTCTCTCTCTCTCTAGCTCTCGCTCTCTCTCTGTAACTCTCTTTCTCTCTCGTCCGACGTTCATACGTACATGCACGTGCGAAAGCGAAGAGAAACGTGAAACGCGCGCGTGCGCCGGCCAGTGTGTACTCGGCGCCCTTACACACCGGTGGTACACATATATAAACATACATACTTATATATATATATATATAGATAGACACGCGCGTACAAGCGCGCATCGACGGACATTCGCGCGCACATATAGAGTGCCTTGCAGGTGCGCGAGTATGCGCGGCCACACGCGCGCGCGATAGAGACGACAGCACACGACCGAAGAGGAGCAGAAGACGAAGAAGAAGGAGGAGGAGGAGGTGGTGGCGGTGGTGGTAGTGGTGGTGGTGGTGGTGGTAGCGGAGGTGGAGGAAGAGGTGGAGGCAGAAGAAGAAGAAGGAGCCAGTGACACCGGGAGGGTCGGTTGTTCCTGGTGTGCAAAGCGGCCACCGGGATACACCTGTACGTCTGTGTGCGTGCGCACGCGAGAGATCGCCGCGTGTGTCGGAGAGATCCGCGGATATATACGGCGGTGCGCGCGTGAGAGCTTCTCTCTCTCTCCCTCTCCCTTCTCTCTCTCCTCTCTCTCTCTCTCTCTCTCCCCCTCTCTCCCTCTCTCGCGCCCCGAGTAGAAGAAAGAAGAAAAAAAAATAAAAGGGAAAAACAAAAGTTTGGGCGAAAAGAAATGCGGGTTCGTTGACTGCGCGCCCGCCGCGCTGTGCGATGGCCGCATGCTCGTGCCCGGTGCCGCTGGTGCATAGTGCGCGCGTGACAGGAGCGACAACTACGAACGGGAGAACGACGGCCGGAACGTCACCGGCGATCGTAACGACAACGACGACGACGACGACAACGACGACGACGACAAGGACAACGACGGCGAAGACTTTGATGACGGAGGAGGTGCCGGCCGCTGCTGCACGCTCGCCGCTCGACGAAAGCGAGAAGCAGTAAGTGCTTGCTACGCACGCTCAGCTCCGGGATATTCAACGTCTCGACGTTTCGCGCACCATCGCGAGCTATCGCGGGGCCAACGGCCGCCGGTAAATTCGTCGACGAGAATTCACGAGGTACGTACGTACTCCGATTGCTCTAAATTTGGTAATTGAACGCTCGATACCGTTCGTGTCAGACGAGAGAGAGAGAGAACGACGACATCGCGCGAGGAAACGGGTCAGTTGCGCTTTTCTCGACGACGACGACTCTTGACTCTTTCTCAGGATCAAAAAATTCACAGAATTAATATACGGAGTATGAGGGAGGAGAAAATGTACAGCTCAACTAGTGACGTGTGTATACATCTCGCACGTTGAATAAATTATCCGCAATTTCGTGCGATATTTTGCGCACCGACCGTTGACGCGGAGCTTCTTGTAACGAGAATTTATTGTATTACGTCTGACAGACGCGTTGTGCCGCAACGTGGAGAAATGAATGTTCTCGTTTGCCTGTAGCGCGTCAAGCGAGCTAGAAACTACTCGCCGCCGGTGCCGCAACTTGCAACTTGTACCGTTAATATCTCTCTAGTATTATCATTTCCTCGCGCGCCGCGCAACGTAAAATCCATTACGCGACATTCAATGAGCCGGTCAAGGTTGCGCTCGCCGCTGGTATTCTCATGGTGCGCATTACCGACCTTCGTCGTCGCGAAAACGTTCGAATTAAGTCACCGCGATGATAATTGAGAATCAATTAGCGTGGGATCGCGCGTGTGACACATTCCAACATTCTCTCTCTCTCTCTCTCTCTCTCTCCCCTCCCTCCCTCTTTTACAGCTTCGGTGTATCCGCTTCGTTTATTCGCTTCGGTCAATTACTTCACGACGTCCAAATATCATGAGTAATGTAACGACGACCTCTTGTCAACGAAGTCGCGACCACATTGACGGAACGACCGGACGTTTCGTAAGTTGTTTGTGTCTGCGCGCGCGAGGAAGAATCGCTCTAGACGAACGGAGGAGGACGTTTTGTACAAATCATTTTTATACGATATAAATATGATCCCGCCGCAAAACAACCGTGACGATTCTGAACCTTGATCTTATCATCGCGCGCGCGCGCGACCTCTCTCTTTCTCTCTTTCTCTCTCTCTCTCTCTCGCGCGCGTAATGACCGTCGTCGTCGTCATCGTTGTCGTCGTCGTCGTCGTCGTCGTCGTCGTCGTCGTCGTCGACGTAAGTTTCAAGTTACGCGAGAACAATTAGACGCGCCGACTTTAGCGTCGAAAGGAACAAATTGACTTTGGAACGATTCCAATAGTCGTCGAGTTGTACATTCTAATAGAACGGATCGGGACTGAGTTTATATATGAGATTTTTCTCACGTCCTTGCGCTCAAGTCCAAGGAAATTGTACAACAAGAAGCCGGCTTTCCCGCAAATTTATGATACGCCTTGCGACGACCCTTTGAATCCCTCGTAAGAAAACGGCAGAACGTTTGCTCGGTTTTACGACAAATTTGTAAATGCAATAAGTCACGTTGGAAGAGAAAATGAGCTCGAGAGAGACAGAGAGAATGAATGAATGCTTTATTTATATAATGAGCGCTCTCTGGGATAATATCCCCTAAAGCGTCTTAATACATACAAGAAAAAAGTATTATAACAATAAATAAGTAATTTGACAAAAATAACAAAAAGAAATAGTAAACGCGAAAAACAAGTAATTAACGACATACGCTAAAAAATATACATAAAATCTGATATTTGATGCTTTCGCGGTGTGTAGTATTAAAATTAATAAAAAAAAATTTAAATTTATAAAAATGACACTAACGCGGTTCAAACCCGAAAAAAAAACATCTTTGTATGTTAATATACATAAAAGTTGCAATAATATATACAATGGTAAAAATTATACTAAAAATAACTAACAATATAATCTGAAAAGTAATGAAGCGCAACAAGTATAAAAACGACGAATATATACATAAGTGATACAAAGGCAGTGTATTAATAAAATATAAAAATATAAAAATGTGTTAATCTACAAAAATAGAGAAAGAAAGGTGAAATAGGCAATGTGCGGAAAATAAAATGACTACTAAGCTAAAACTAAATTTATTTTTAGCAAAGAATTAATTTTTAAACAGAGTTAGACGTTATTAGATGGAAAAGTAGTTGTGCAACTTAACTTTAAAAAGACGAAAATCGGCTGTCCTACATATCTCAGCTGGGATATTATTCCAGAGTTCTGCAGAAGAACATCTGAAGGAACGCTTGTAAATATCTGTTTTACAGCAGGGGATAGTCAGTAGATCACTCTGTGCACGCGCGCGGGTGTCGCGGGTTGACTCAACACATCTAAGAGTAAAAGTTTCAGATAGCGCAGACGGTCTTTTTAACTCTAAAATTCGATACAAAAGACAGCACATAAAATATTGTCTTCTTGATTTGATCTTGAGCCACTGCAATTTTTGAAAGAAAGGCGTGATATGTTCGTCTTTCTTAAGGTCATAGATGAACCTAAGACTTGAGTTGAAAGCTCGCTGAGAGAGAGAGAAAAAGAGAAAGAGAGATTCGACCGCACTCTTACAATTAGGTCACATTACACGTAACGAACTAAAAAGTAATTCAATCGCGCGCGGCGAAAAGCAGACGAAGGAGGGGGGATACGATTGGCGAGACGAACGCGTTTTAATTGAATTACGCTCTCAATCGCGGCGGCGGCGGCGGCGGCGGCGGCTCTTGATCCACATATACCGAACAAGGAACTTGGCAGATTAGAAACTTGTCAAAATCTTGGGTTCAAGCGCGCGTAGCCGCGAATGCGCCCGACTCGTTCACTCGTGACTAATGTACACTCGACAGTTGGCGCGTGAAAATTGGCGCGATGTAAATACATGATGTGGTTTTGCTCGCGATGCTCGATCGAGCGAGCAAAACGATGTCGTCAGTAACGTCAGTTTCTCCATTTTTTCGAGGAGTCTTCATGCAACTCGTCGTTTTAATTGCCGCGCGTTAAAACTCAATCGAAATATGCGAAACGTAACAATTCGCCGCGTGATGGTATACACGCGTGAATTCGACGAAACTGCAACTGCATATCTGTTATTTCTGTACGTACAAGAAGTCCGAATTGTCGTCAAGTGTGTAACGTGTCTATGTTCTTTCTTTATGTTTCAGAAAAGAAAACGCCTGTACGGATCGCGTGTCGAACGAAGAAGCGACAGCGAGTTGAGAACAATATTTCTCGTGAAACTTTGTGATCCATATTTCTCTTGCCTACATTCGTTCTTTCTCGAGTGTCCCGTTCTCTTCGACAAAGTTCGACATCGAAAAATCGTCTCTCCCTCTCTCTCGCGTGTGCGCGCGCGCGCGCACGCCCGTCTCCCTTCTTTAATGTATATGTCCACGAATGCAGATCAGGTCTTGCGCGACGCGAGAGACGGGTCATAAAGTTCTGATCTCCCGAAGACTGATCGGCTCTGTCAGAGCCATCTCGAGAGCTTTCTCGATATCCGACCGAGAAAATAAGACCCCTCTCGAGGTGACTATCACGATCTAACGATAGACGCGATCGCGCAGGCAGCGTTTAGAATCCCGTCGTCCGCGCTCTTCGATCGAACCTTTCCCGATCGTTCGCGCGCTCAGATTGATCGACCGCGAGACGAGAGATCGGTCACAAGGAATCGCAACACACACCTCGCCCGACGTTCTCGCAGATGTTGAGATCGATCCTCGATAGGACGCAGAACGACGCAATCAAGATCCGATCGCCGAAGAATCGTTCGTCTTTCCCGGTTCGGATTTTGCTCGGTGTTTCTCTCCCGACGAGAGACGACTTCGTTCGCGCCGCGTGAGATCGTGTAATTTTTATCGCGGGGTATTAGCGCGAGTTACATCGCGAGTCCGCTTCTATTGTCCACGTAACCGTGCGTGAGGATGCTAACATCGTCGGCGTCGTGTGCGCGTCCGTGCCGAGAAGCAACCCTTTCGTTCTGATTGTTCAATGAACGTGACGACTCGGTGCCGGGAAAGTGAGGCTCTGATTAAAACCGTGTGCGGTGCAGGCCACGTCGTTGACGCGCTACGTAACTCAGGTGGCGAATCGCCCCGACTAGAAGACCGAGAGGCGGCCAGCTGTTAATCGGCAGCCACCGCGGTGGACATGATTATTTCAAAGGATCTCTTCCTCCTTGGCGACCAGGATTATCTGCGCCTTCCCGTCAACGAGAAGCGCCAGCAACGGGCAATGGGCCGGCCGATCATCAATGCTCCCAGGTAAGGGAAAGAATTGAAATCAATCAGCTATAAACATTGTTTATGTATACTCGACTTAATTAGCAATTTTTCTGATTCAAATTAACGCCAAAAAAAAGCGTCATTATTCATTTTCGCATAACAAAAACGCGCGAAATTATTGACATATATCGCGCGGCGATCTCAATATTTTATTATTCACCCGTCGATTGCGATAAATAATATGTTTTGAAACACGTGACATCGCATAAACCTGCATATAATTTTCTTGCAATTAAAACTCTCGATACACTGGAAAAGCAGGTTTATTATCGCTCGGTATATAGGATAACCGTAGCGGTGGCACTTTCAATGCACAGTTATTAGTTCGCGAAATGACCATTGCTTGGTTTTCTTGGTTACGAGCGCGGTTTCTTTTGCCTCGCGCGAATGGGGCATATAGAAGCGCGAACCGAGCGACGCGGCGTTGAAATTGCCCCGTGTATTTGCGCGTTGTGTCGAGATCGGAAGATTTATGCCGGCACTAATCGATTCGCCGTGCTATTATGAGTTTTACGATTTTTACGAGAAAAACGCGCGCGCACTGACAGGCGTCGTTCGTCGCTCCGTTTCCTTCTTCCATCGATACGATCTCCCGATGTTATTACTCGATAACGAGTCTTATCGGCTCGTCGTTTACTCGGGGATCAATGATGTGTATATAAATAAAATACGCCGTGTGTTTTTTTTGGTTTTTTTTCTTTTTTTTTTATCAAAATCTGACCGTCGATCAGTAAAATATTTCGAAAACTTCACGCGCGATAACGCGCGCACGAAAAAGTTTATTATTGCCCGTTTCATTGAGCGATAGCACTCAAATTATATCGGTTCAAAACACAAGTGTACGATCGATGTTATTGCATTATATGTTTGTTCGGACATATATGCAACGCTTAATCAATTATCGCGTTTACTTCCTGTATATTTACGAAATCGATGAGATTAAAACAACGCGGGAGACAATTCGAAAATGTTGCACAATATATGTACGCACATTAAATCGAAAAGCGGCAACGACTATCGTAAAGCGCGGTGTGCTCGATTATTCGCGATTGCGCGCGCGATTACACCGGAAAGAAACACGCCTAGTTTAGTCCTAGTTTGCCTTTCAACAAACGTGAAATTCGCGTGACGTTGCGCGAAAACGCGGATTTTTCGAGAGAGAGAGACGGATTTCTTTTTCCCTCCCATATTCCCTCGCGCACTCAGTGAAAGAGAAGAGAGCACACGAGAGATTTCGCGACGCGCTGTTTCGTCGTCTCTCGTGTCGAGACGGAAATTTATGTCGCGGAGCGAAAATAGGGAGGCCGTTCCTTTGCGCGACGCGTGCGAGAGGCGCGGGCAATATCGCTCGCCGCGCTCTTATTTTACTTGTAACCTAGAAACCGCTCGATCGAAAGAAAAATCGGTAGTTTCTCCCGCGGAGAAAAATCGAGTCTTCCGCCTGGAGATGAAACCGTTCCAGTTTCCCATGCGTGACCCACTGCTAGGGACTCTCCAAGTGCCCCGCGCGCGCGCGCCTTTCTCTATACCACAGCTATATAATCCTCATTCGTCGCCGCTTCTCCCGAGAGAATCGCGCCGGACATCCTTTCCTTCCTTCCTCTTTGTCGTGATGCCTGAGAGGTGTCGGGTGTTTTCTTATTTCGCGCCGAGAGAGATTTTCTGCGATCGATATCGCAATCGCAGCGACGGCAGCAATATTCTCGATGTTCGTCTCTCGCGGAAATATCTCTCGCGCGTCCCGCCGGCAATCGCATGCGAATTTGCGGAGACGGAGTCGTATTGTTTTTTTCCGCAACTTTGCGACACACAGGCGCGATTAACTTTCTTTCTGTTACATTAAGGAACTTTCATTTCGTTAAAGTAACATTGCAAATATGCAGGTCACACCGCGCCATAAGACGGCTTATCGAGAAACGTTTTCTAGACACGCTAAGTGGAGGAGAGACGGGTTCGCTTTACTGCGTAAAGAACAATGAGAGTATTTTGCTTAAGTGCAGAAGTGTGGAACGAACAGAAAAAGAAAAAAAAAAAAAAGGAAAACAGTATCTCACCGTCAACGGTGCGCAGCGCCGGTGTTGTGAGGTACCTGGCGGCGTGAGATGAAATCGAGGACGGTGTGCAGACCGCGTGTGGCCATTAAGTAGATTGAATATTACCCTATATTCGGATAGATGCAATCAATAGTCTAGAAAAAAATGCGCTATTCGCTTTCGCAGCTCGCTCGGTGTCCTTGAATACAAAACCTATCAGCTTCGCGCGCAATTTGCCACGGAGAATAATGATGACGCATACACGTGCTCCATACCGTGTCGCCGTTGTGTTGTTGCGTTTGTCGTTGAAGCTTCGCGCGGATTGTCATTCTCGTAATAATAACGCGAAAAAGAAGTATTCACGGTTTTTTTTTTCTCGACGGAATGGCTCGGCGTAAAAAAAAAATAGCCATGAGTCGCGGTTTTGTCGCAACAGACCGCCGTAAAACGGGACTCTCGCGGCGAGAGTCTGTGACGTGATGATATCACTTATCAGAGAAGATATCAGTGTACATCGAGGAGGGGGACGGTATTAAAAAAGAAGAAAAAAAAAACATTGTATCTCTTTATTGTGGAAGCGCGGATACGTGTGATTACACGCTCAGTTTTATCGCGAACAATTTTCGGCGATAAACGCTTCTGTGTACTTCGTATATAGCGCGCGAATATTGACGCTCTCGCTTCGCGGACTGCGCTTCGTGCAGCCGCCGCTGCGTCGCACGAAGGACGAATCTGCGAGGCAGGCGGGCGAGGCGAACGCATGAACTACGAGGAATGCGAATGGCTTGATCAAGCCCGTTTAAAACGAAGCGCTCCCCTCGTCGCGAGCCGACGTCGCTGACCTGCCTCACGCGAGTCGCTCTACTGTGTGTCTCGTTCTCGGTGTGTATACTCGTTCTTCCGTAGAAAGGCAGCGGCGAGGCGTTCCCTTCCTAAATCGGTCGCGCTTAGAGAAAGAAACGGAAAAAGAGAACGAGAAACGCGAGAGGAGGGGTAGGCGAGGGTGGAGGAGGAGGAGGGGGGACAGAGTGATAGAGAGGATGCGGGTATCAAGGCCGACTTTTGGACGGTGAATAAGCGTCTCTGCGATCGCGATGCGTTGGGCGATTAAAGGATGCGGTAGGTCGCAGTCGCGTCGTCTGGTTGCTGCAACGTCTCCGGGAGGAAATTTCAATTTTAATTCTCGATACGAGTCCGCACAAATCAACATCGAAAAATGTCAAATGTATTATTAAAGCACTGTGTGAACTACTACTTAAAATAGTAGTACAACGTGTTTTATGGGAAACGGAAAGATACAAGAAAAAACACGTAAGCGAGAAATGCAACACAAAGTTTCCGTGTAGCTGTACACACGACGACGATTCGCTTTCTCGGGCGAGCGTTTCATAAAAATGAATGCGAACCGCACAGTATAACCGTTATCAAGAGTTATCTGCGATGAGAGACGCGATAGGGAGGACAGCCGTTTTGACCTTGCCTGCTGAGCGCACGAATGTCTGAGGTCGACTCCGAGAGGAATGCAAATGCGCCTCAGGTTCAGGACAAGCCGCGCGACCCCGCGATGCACGAACGACTCGCGAGCTCTTGGAGGTCGTTCTATACGTGCTTCTTATTCGGAGTGACGTTGCGTTCGCAACGCGAATTTATAGTTAATAACTTGTCCGGTTCGAGAGAAGACGTGCGTGTTTACGTACGCCGGAGAACGAATATCTACTTACCGCGCGAGAACGTGAGAGAGTCTACGGACGACGAAACTTATCGCGCGGTTTACGCGTATCTTTTAATTTTGTTTTTCGAAACGCGCGATAAGATCGAACGCGGATTTCTGAAACAAATTCGAAATTTTTTAATGTCCCATTCGCGTTACATTAAAAAATGTGTAAAAAATTGTTCGAAAAAGAAGAGTCTCTTGGCGATGAGACACTTTGCGACAGTCAAGGGAGGGGGGGAGGGATGTGTCACGATTTCAATTGGTAATGAGCTCTTATTTCCGGAGTCTTCTCGCTCTGTAAAATCCAGTACGTGTCTCCTCCCCGCGGAGGAGGAGAAGAAATTTAAATCGATCCTTCTCTCTCGACGGAGAAACACGAGATGCGAGGGGATAACCTAGCGAGCGTAATTTTGCTGACCTACCTCACGCGAGAAAACGACTCACGGCGAGTCGCGAGCGAGCGCGCGCTTATTATCTATCGCGTTGTTACACGACACGGCGTGTCGTCCTCTTCTTCCATTTCGAGTTTAGCGAGAGAACCTTTGAGAGTGCGCGGGGGAGGGGGGAAAGAAGAGAACGAGAGCCAAGGACGTTCCGTGTGGGCCGGACGACGGGGCCGGAAGTCACGTTCCCGACTGTTAAACGCGGCGAGTGTGCGATCCATAAGCCGAATTGAAAGGAGCACCGCGCTGTTATGTACTTTAAATTTAGTGGCCAATTTTACCGGGTGCACTCATTACCCGACCATGCGCTGCGATTGCGATTTACCGTCAGGGACATATTCGGTGTCGGCACTTAAAGAAAATGACAAAGGCGGCTCCGCGCTCCTCTGTGTGCTGAATTTATATTATATGCGGCGCGCACAATTCGTCCACGCTGCTCTACCAGAAAATTTAGCGGTTTTGTTTCTTTTTTGGCGCGTCGCAAAAAATATTTTATTTGAACTTTTGACTTCTTAGAAACACTCGGTCTAACATCGGGAAGGAATAAGATAACGGATAATCTCTCGTTCATATTTACGTCTATTTCAATAAACAATGTAAATATATTGCATGTCGTTGACAATCTCCTATCGTTTATTTCAAAATTTTTATCAATTTATAATGTGCGTATTTTTTTTCATACAAACTAAATAACGATGTAGTATTTTGCATTATTCAGATTACAAATTACTCGTTACATTGCGATTCATAAAGTTTTGTAAATAAAGAATAAGTTGTATCACTTTGCTG